CGTGTCTGCTCTCAAATGCAGCCATGGATCTCCTTGTTGGCCAGTTTCTTGCACCTAAGGTGTGAGACACTTCCAGTCGCCTGCATAGCCTCGTCAAGAGAACCTCTCCCAAGGAAGCAACATGGCTGCGAGCACATATCGGAATAGTCGAGATGTCAGGGGTTGCAGCTGGAAAGGGACCGTGAATCCAAACAATGTCACCAGTTTTAATGCACACTCCAATCTCATAAGCTCACTCCAGCATGACGAGAACTTGTGCTGAGAACCAAGCTTTGTTGTACTGCTGTCGATCCAGCGGAGCATTAGTTTTGATCATGTGAATAAGTGCTGTCACCACCGATCGCGTGACGAGACACCGGTCGCCCGCTTCGTCCATGAGCCGGTTGGCCCAAACGATCTGAGTCAGAGTGACAGCATAATGACGTTAGCACTGACATGTAAAGCAAGGTAAGACAAGCAAGGTAAGACAAGAAGCAGTTGCTACGTACAGGAACTTACCACATCTTTGTCAAGCCTGGCAATGGCTTCGAGATAGATCTCGGCCCACTTCTTCACAGTTTGTTCGTGTGCCCCGACAGCCGAGGCAAGAACCTCCCAGGTATCATACCTTTTCAACAGCATCAGTGCCCACAGGACGTGCTCAGGATCTGGAGCTTTCTTGATCTTGTTCAAATGTTGTTGAAGGAAGGTGCTTTCCTGCAGCAGCTCCCATACTGCAGCAACAACTTCAGGCGGAGCACCAAAGTGGGCCTTAAAGCGCCGCAATGTGACCTTTTCTGATCGTGATGACTTGTACTTGGCAGTCCGTCGGCCCAAGTCTTCAAACTCAGCGGGGCCCAACTCCATGGTCACCGGACATTCAAATTGCAAGGGTTGGTTGTGGATTGTTGCAAAATGGAAGCAGCAAGAGAAATGGCAAATCTTCCACCGACAAGATCCCAAGAAAACCTCAAATAATGGTCATCGAGTCATCGGCAGAACCACAACCGTCACACTGTACTGATCGCTCGAGTGTGTGGTGTTGTGACTGAGCTGAGCGAGGAAATCATGTGCGTGAGGATCAATGATGAATTGAGTCAACTTGTCACAAACTGTCAACAGGCGATTCAAAACATTTGGAGCCTTGACGCACTGCTTCCGCCATGATGTCAACAATCACCATACTTACTTTCGTGCTGCTGCTGTTTTTATTCAGGTTGCTCATCAAATGGGATACTCTCATTATGATGTTGTTGGCTATGTTGATCCAGTGACTGAAGCTGATTGGGAGTGATGCCAACAGCTGGTTGCCAGTGTTGGTTCTTTGGAGCCAGGGCACCATGGCTTGTTTTCCCACTCCGAGTGGACAGCATGGTGAGGATCTGTTGGTTGAGATTGGTGGTGGTGAAGGCAACCTTGCAATCTAGCAATCTGGAACCATTGTCTGGACCTATGAGAGAGCATGCTGTTGTGGACCAGCATCTGTTGAGCATTCTATGCTGTGTAATGGAGCCCAGAGCAATTCAAAGGGCATTGCTGTTTGTGATTGACAATGTTGGCTTGTTGCCTTCTATTCTCCTAGATAACAAACTCTAACAAGTTCTGGTTAAGGCTGATTGTTTGATCACCCCAGTGTACAGCTTTTCAGGCACGTCCGTACCGGTTACCGGTAGTACCCTGCGTTGGGATGAAAGGAAAGGGTGTAACTGCCATGGGCGAGCACTTGGAACAAACGAGAAGATGCCATGTTACCAATCAGCTTTGTGCAACCACCCGGAAAGGTGCTAGCTAGTAGAGTGTATGCATTAGAGATTTATCGTAAAATTACCATGTAGTTTTCTTCTTTGGTTGCTCTTCATGATGGAGGAAGCAACGAAGAGACCAAAACATCTTTTAGTCTGCTGGGAATCGAATCGAATCGAATCGAATCGAATCGAATCGAATCGAATCGCGGGGTACCGGTAACCTGCACTCGGGGCAATCGCCAGCACAAAAGGATTAATGTATCGAGGGATTGATGCAGCCACTTCAGACAAACAATCTGGGTTGATGCATCCGTAATCATGAAGGGGAATAGTGCAAATATGTATTACTACTCGATCGATCAATCATCACGCAACAGATGCATGGATCTCTACGCGGATGGAGGCGTAGGAATGGAGGGACCAGCCACCAGCGGGAATGCGCGTTCAATGTCATCATCGCCGGGGTACATCTCGGGCATTTTTGAATACTCCATCTCAACTTCAGCCAACAGAACTTTGACAATTCCCTGCCCTTCCTGAACCCACATGTTTCTATTGTTCGTGGCATAGTTGTAGTTCTCATCCGAAGTGGGTCCAAACACACCGCAATCGCGAAGCTGGCACAAAACCAAACCAAAACAGAGTTGAGACCCACAGTGGTTCACGTCAAGGGGAAAGACGCATCACGTACCTTCCTGGATAAAGGAACGATGTAAAAGTCAAAAAAGCTGGCGGAAGGGGAAAGAAACAGATAGTAAGGAACTGATGGCTTTGCAAACAAACACTAGAGCATGCTGCAAGTGAGGAGGTTTGATCAGCCATGAAAGACATACCCGATTTCTCCCTTGTACCAGTCCTCTGCTGGATTATGCTCGGCTCTTCCTTCACGCCATGCCTTGTACATTTCCCGAAACAGCAAGCGGTTCCATTTGCGATAGATGGCCCAGTGCTGAGACATGTGGGCCACATCAGCTGCCTGAATGAGGTGCTCGATCTATATATAGAGGGTTTGAATTCCAAACAAAGGATGAGACAGAACGAAACCGTGGGCTTTGGTATATAAGGTCCGTAACAATGAACTTACAACAATTGTTGCCTTTCGGTTGATCTGGATGCACGTTCGTTCACGGCCGCTTTCGAGATCAGCGCAAGAACTCAAGGTATCTGATGATCCGCCAGTATTGAGGCTGCTAGACTCATCGCTTGTTGCAAAAGCCTTCTCCCATCTGCCATTACGGAGTTCTTTGAGCTGTTTATCCCCCAAGTCCGTCGCTGGATTGTCACAAACGAGGAGTTCATGCATTAGCATAGCGTTGCGGAGTTGTTCAACATAGAGCGTAGCGATAGCCACTCACCCATCACGCTGTTGATCACCAGCTGTCGAAAGCGTTGGAGTTCCTTTGGTGTGCTACATATGGTCGACAACAAGGCAGAGAACCTTTCCTCCATGAGAAGATTCCATGAGACGACGAAGCTCTTCTGCTCTGCCACACTCCTGGCTTTGAAGCGTTCGGCAACTTCCTTGTCTTCGCGGACCAACTGTGGGTTCGGAACTCCAGGATGGTCTGTCATGCACAAGAAGCGAGGTTAGGTGTTAGAGCCAGACAGTCGATTCGATTCTCATTATTTTTGGCAGTCAACTCACCGACATCGTGAATAAGGGCACTGAAAACGCACGCAAACTGTGTAAGCGGATCGCTAGTGATGCCTTTTTGTTTGACAGAACGGAAGGTCTTTGTGTGAGAAGAATGCAGTTGGACCATCTCCCATAAATCGTTTGTCTTGAGTTCCTTACCATACGTATGAGAGTGAATGGCAGCTTGAACGCTGCTTCGAACGCGTTCTTCAACGGCGTGCCCGACATCCATCTCGCTTGCTGGGAGAGCAGAAACAAGAGATCTGTAAGAAATGTGCTGCCAATGATGCTGGCAATGGTATGGGCTTGGCACAAAGCTTCCGTCACTCACCAGCGATGATTCGGTTCATGTACTTTTTGATTGCCATGACAACATACGATGCATGGGCAAAGTTCTGGAGGAAGGTGCAGAGCAGTCAGAGATCTCGACACCCAAAACATGCCTTTACGTCAGTTCTGATGCATCCCGTGAAAGCAGATGACTTACGTGAAAGGGGTTGTCATTATAGCAGCTGGCAACAATGGAGATGTATTCCCTGAGCTGGAACACAACGTTTTCTTGGATCTCCACCTTGTCAAAGTCCAGTTGTCGTCGCGCGGCTCTTTTGTCGAAGCTTGGGAGCATTATTACTTCTTTCACCTCTGTGGTTGTGGTTGGAAAGAAGAAACTCGTTAGTAAGGCAAAGCAAAGCGACAGAAAACACGTGTGGGAAAACATTTTGGCACTTCGACAACAAGTTGGGTCACGTTGGACTCCCTTCCCTATAACAAGGACTTGCAAGCAGGCCAATCCCACATATCGCTCTCTCTAGAATAGCAGTGTGGTACTAGCCACATCATCTACATGTGGGACTAGTCACTGGCACACCAACAAGCGGAGCTCAACCAATACATACGGTCGCTGTGCATATCGCCCGTTCTTCATCCCCGTCCACCAGCCAACAACGCCCAGCAACAACAACACTGCAAAGAAAGCTTAAACAGTCGCGGTCGTTTCGTGGGCTTCTTACCTTCCAATGGCATGTTTGCTTCGGGAACACGAGAGGGGTGAAGCAAGTGATTCGAGGACGTCAAGTTGCTCAATGATCCGTCTCTTCGTGCTATGATTTGCTTCAGCAAGCCTTTGAATGTTTCCACGTTGAACTCAACCCATCGCTCTTCATTTTTCAGCTTTGAGAACTTGATGTCATCCTCGGCTTCGTCGCTCGGAATTGATTCATAGCACGAGTGCCGCTCTGGCATGTCGTACTCACGGTGAGAACCTTTCACTAGCCAATAGGTTTTCATTGTTCCCTTTTCTTCTGTGTCTACTGGATCTTCTCGTTCCATGACCCAGGCCCGCTTGTTGGCCTGAATGAGCAGTTCGGCAGTGGCCTGGGACAAGTGAATTCTATTTCTCAAGCTATGTTTCTGAATCAACTGAGCGGTTGTGACGGTGTCGCCAACGATTTGGAAGCGTTCACCTGTGTATGAGAGCGAGAAGGAGAAAGTGTCAGAGGAAGAGAGGACAACGAAGTTCAAGTGATCGACACGAGACAGCTTCACGACAATTACCTTTTCCTTTCAAGAAACCACCAGTCACAGGGCCTGAAGCCATACCGATACGCAGAGTCAAGTCTGACGCGGCTCAAAAGAGTGAGACTATTGTAGTAAAAGGCAAGCTCCAGAGGCCAAGGCACACAAAGAACTCACCACTTGTGTCAGGGCCAAAATGCACCTCCATATTCTTGACAACCTTGGGCATCTTCTTCAAGCAATCTATTGCGAAAGATGCCATGAGAATGCAATGGTTGCCTTGACATGTTGGTATTCCTGTGGCTGAGATGTACAACTCAGAGACTGTCTGAATTTTGTATACACCGTGTTTCTCAGCAAGCTTGTCAAAGTACCCGTAAAGCTGCTCCAGGAACTGGAAGACCTGTACGGGTTCTCGAACAGAGCTCCTGCGCAGTGTCCGGTCAGCAGGAAGGGCTTGTGAGAAATGATAGGTCGGCACACCCAGCTGGGAGAAAGGACGAGGCCAGTAACGGTCTTACCAAGCTGTAAACCCATCGACTTCGAGCAATGCTATCGTTGTGTGCACAAATACATCAGGCAAGGGTTCATCGTCGACCTCCTGTCCACTGTTCAGGAACTTTGGGACAACATAGACTGCCAGACTCACAATCGTATCGGTACTGAAGATGACACTGGTGTACCCCATCAAGTCTGAATTCGATGACCCATACAAGCCAAGGAAGCAGATCACCTCCAGCGACAAGGACACGGCGTGGGTATAGAGCGCCTTAGACATCGTGTGGGTGTCATTCAGATCTTCCTTGACACGACTTGCCAACACGGCAATCATGCAACTTGGAATGACGAGAAGAGCCCGCCATCCAAAAACTGGTATAATCCAGTAACTCTCGACTGATCCACAGTAAGGATAGGCCATGATGATGGTCTCGCCTTGAGGTGTTTTGTCAGTTGACATTTCATACTCAAAAGTTTTCTCGGGAGTGTCAAGTAACACCCAAGTGACCAGAAATGCGACCAACACAAATGCCACAACTGCAACGTTGGTGCAGAGCCATTTTATATTCAAGCGGACACGCTCCATCTGCTTCCCAGAAGTGGCGAGTTCGCTGATGCCAGAGATACGGCAGTACAATGGCACTAATTGCAGTACCCAGCCCAAGTTAATGACCCATGGAAGTAGAGCGCAAGTCCAATCGGCAACAGCAACTGTCAAAAGAATTGCACCGATTGAAACTATAAGCATGCCCGAAAGAATAAGGTTCAGAAACTCATTCTGTGTGTGATAAAGCACCTTTGTTTTCCTCTTTCGGAATGCAACCAGAAGTGAGACAATGACAAGGATTACAGCGACAGCTGCAATGCCTAGAGCGGCTTCCATCAGACCAGAAGTTTTGGATGTCTCTGCCTCCACCACCACCCTTGGATGCGACTCGGGTACAAAGGCCTGAAAGACGTCCAGGTTCTGGACGAAAAACTGACAGACTGCGTCCCTCAAGTCATATCCCCAAGGATCCGTTCCACGCGACTTCCACATTTGAAAGATCTCGCTGTACGAAAGCTCCGATATTTGGTAGCTCTGGAAAGCCTCATATGCCGGGCTTTGGAACTCTTCTGCTATGTCGTCTCCAATAGTAATTCGATGGAATGCATAGCTCAACATCTTTTTGAGAGCCTGGGCAGATGTATCGCATGCTCCATCGGGGGAGCCATAGAGTTGCTCGGGAGTAGCGTCAGGATTGCACGTATCGGTGGATGTGATGCGACTATCAAAGCACTTCTGCGTGGGAGGTGCAAAGTTCACTCTTGTCATCTCTGCGTCCGTCCCTAGCCACTCGGAATAAGGAGTGTCTGTGTCATACATAAGAACCATGACGGCCTCTTTGGTTGCATTGGCAGCAGCGTAGATCTGAACTTGTTCGTCGTAAGAGTATCCACCACTGGCTAGGGGGCCACGCATCTCGAGTGCAATGTCGTTGTGGTAGATCTGCAGGCAAGACGCGGCGAGAGAAAAGGTTAAGGCAATGTGCAGGACAAGTCGCAAACTGGCCGCCCAACCTCTCTTCCTCGTACCTGCTGCAAAGCGTAGGTGGTCCAGTCGCAGGCAATATTAATGAAGTCACCGGCACATTCGGGGTTGGCATCGCAGTCTTGCGTCATACGGAAGTGACCATTGTAGACCCCAGCAGAGAAGAAGAGCATTTCCTCATCCTCTTCGAGGGGAGCACGTTCGGCAATGGGATCGGGTATAGTGCAGTTCGTCGGCGACACCTCCTTGCAGTAGTCCCCCCATCTGGCACCAAACACAGTGTGAGATGGTAAAAGTGCAAACAAGGATCAGCTCCTCTCGGGTGTTGCACTGTACCTCGTCGGCGACTTGAAGGTTTCTGCGAGCTTGCGCCGATTGTCTTCTCCCCTCAAACCAATAAATGAGTTCAAGGAGGTGTCTCTTTGCAGAGCAAACTGAAGAGGCAAAGTGAGGTCGCTGCACGACGTAATCTATTTTCACCATGAATTCACTTCAGAGGGATACGTACTTTGGGTATGTAGATGGCCAGAGTCGATAAGACGCCCAGATCCAGCAGTGACTCCATCTCTGGAAAGGGCAAGTCCTTCTTGCTCTGCCACCATATCTCTGGATAAACGTGGTAGCAAGGTTCGTAGTTCTCTGGATCGGTTGTGACCATGCGGCAATCATCAACACGGCCAGCAGTAGACATCTCAGGATGGCGGAACACATCTACTTTGACGTTCCAAAAGTCAAAATTGCTGTTTTCTTGATACAGGTTAATGTTCACGTCAGGTTCTCCACCCTCGATACTAGTAGGCACGTCCATGAGCTCCGACAGCAAGATTTGGACGAGATATTCGTTCATGTTCACAGACTCCCAGTTACCACTGCCCAGTCGCACTTCTGTGTAGTCCATCGATGAACGACGGCAAAAGCCCATTCTCTCTGCCCCAGGAGGGTCCTGAGAATTACAAATGCGAGTCCTATTCCAACCAGGAATGAAACTCTTCAAGCAGCCACCATTGAAAAATGGGTTAGTACACAAGCCATCTTGGCAACGGGAACCTGGACGAAGCAAACCCTCACACTCGGAGGTTTCATTGCAAGGAACAGACGAAGCGGTGCTAAGAAGACCCCGAGTGAGCAAAAGCAAACTCAAACGAAAGGATAGTTTCATGATGCTTTGAATAAAATTTGTGAGCTCTGGGTGGGTGCTCTTGGACTGCCGACCAATATCCAGAACTTGGTCCTGTAACAATAGTGTATATGTACTATGTACCGTCAGTACCGGTCTACTGTACCATACGAAACGTACCGTTCAGTCACACTGCAGCTCACACATAAATGACTTCGCTCTTTAGTACGGAAGTGTTTCCGAACCCGAATTAGGAGTTTGAGAAGGCTACTAGTAATAACAGGGCGAGAAATTATCTTCAATAAAAGACATTATATAAAACAACAAGCACAGAGCAAAAGCCGTAGTACAGTGTACAGTGTACCGAGCACCGAGAAATATGTCATAATGACGCTTTATTGGTCCCCCATACAAGACCTTTTAAATCTTTTCGTATTAATCAAGAGTAATGTTGGCTTAGCTCCCTCGAGTCTCCATCTGCTACCAAAATCCTTCCCCCACCCTCAACCGATGAACTTTGGATCAAATCCGCCGGCTCCAGGAGCGGCAAGGGGCAGCGGCCTTGGGTAGACTACTGGTATCCACCGAGGACTGATTCGGAGCAGCTAGGAGCCCCGCTATCCTTGGGTTGCCGTTCCCATTCTCAACCAAAGTGATGCAAACAACCCCTGAAGATATTCTGTTTGCTGCCGTATACTTGGCCTGCTATCAGAGTAAAACTACCTCGAGGCGGGGATTCGACTCGCAGTCACTTGGATCGCTTCTTTCGCTCGTACTGAACCGTAAAGGTGCCAGGGACTTTCATCTTTGTAACTGCTGAGCATTTGTCCCCTATTGGCCAAAGGAAGAAGAACCCTCCGCGAGAGGAGAAAATCGGATCAGTGAGGTGCGATGGTTTGCTGTTCCCGTTCGCATGAAGTGACGAAACTGCCTGATGAATGCCATCACCCAACCTAGAGAAAATTCTGCATCTACGAGGAATACTTCATCGACGAACAGAACGTTTGAGCAGGTCGCTCCGGGAATCCAACCAGAGAAGTGGAAGGTTCTTTGCTAGCTGCCCTGATCGGAGAGGGCATCAATGCTATCATCATTGCAGGATGTTACAATGACTAGCAATATCCAACTCCAAAACCTCCTGCAGCAGATCCATGAGGGCTTTCAAGAGTTGAGTCCTAGCTAGCTAGTAGCTCTCCATCTCCAGCCTTTCTTCACGCTAGAGAACTCGAGACGAAGATCTGCCTCGCGATTTGACTACGAGCTAGCCAGTGGGGAAGAGAGGATCCAATTGCACTTCTTCCACCCAGCGAAGTTCGGAAGGAGCCAAATCATCCATAAGAGACATGTCATGCCATCCTCGTTGAGCCTTGACAGTTGTCATTGTGCGGTTTGTTGAGCATTTAGGACTTGAAGGTGGTGAACGGCAACGCACGACTTCATGAAGAATGCCAAGGGCGACATCGACAATCCCTGCTCCCAGATACCTAGTCGAGGAACAACAGCATGATACGAACAAAACATCAAAATCGCAAATGCATATGTAATGACATTATCAATTTCGCTGATCCTCTGGCTACACAGCCACTGCAAGTTCTTCGTGCACACTGACTGTAACCAGCTGAGAGTTTTGGGTCTTGTACCTACCATTTCTGAGAGTGACTCAGGAGCTGCATGCTGGTGCAGCCGCACGCCTAGGGCCTATCTGGTTTTCTTTTACATGCTCTCCTGACTTGGTGCAGTTCGAAAAAGCACATAGCCGATTTGTTACAGGGCATCTCTTTAGGTTCAAAAGCTTGCCAATGGGACGCTTCATGTTACTGATACCACTTCCTTTGATGTGCCATCGCTTGGCCATCCAATCTAAGAACTTGTCTCTTTGCTGGTTCTCGTTGTCTGGGTCTTCAGTACCAAAGGAAACGCCACCATACAAATATTCACCATTGTTGACAGTAACATGTGCATATGTCCAGTCAACATACTTCAAGACCTCTTGGGGCTCCGCAAACAGCTTGACAACAGCTGTTTGGAAGATCAAGTCATTATCACGGTGAGTGTAAATGAGGCTTGACTCATCAAACTTGTGGACAAGCTGGGATGGTAGTGGTTCATGCCACCAGGAGACTCTGCTGATAAAAAAGTTGTTGTAGTAGCCATATCGACCAAGCTGGCTCTTGCAGTAGGATCCCTCGATTGCACCATATTTGGGGACAATCTTATTCTTTTTTATGAAACGATCAATGAATGGACCAAACCTTGTGGAACCACACTCCTCTGCCTCCTGCCTGAATCCATATATGGCATTCTGGCTGCGTAAAGCATCAAACAAGTTGTATGCAATGGGTGACATGAAATTGGAGTCATCATCCAGCCTCATGACATAATCATAACCCAGCTCAGACAGCACATCCCATATGGTGACAGCATAGAAGCGAATCATGTTCCGGTATCCCACAGACCACGGCATTTCAGGACTTTTTGGAGGAACCTCAGCATTGGGAGGAGGACCCCAAACCCCTTTTGCATTCTTCAGATTACAAAGTCTCACGTTCATCCCCTGGAGCCTGTCCACTGGAATTTCTGACAAAGCAAACTCTCCTTCATGCCACAACAAGACGTCTGCTGCTTGAACTGCTTTGTAGGCACTTTGCAGTGAAAGCAAGGGGCCTGCAATATCCACAGTGTGATCACCAGCATAGGTACTGTGCTTCTTTTGCATTAGCATGACAATAGCATCCCTGGACACCTTTCCTCCACCCTCACAAATAGATGGTGGTTGGTCTTGAGCTCCATTGAAAGGATCCACTAGGTTAGGTTGGGTGATGTTGGTCAGGGTGTCAGGAAGATGAGGCACGATAGCTTTATTCGACATTGGGGGCTCATTGTTACGAGGATTGGCAGATGAATTTATTGAATTCGGAGTTGGCTTATTGATGGGTCTGGGGGTGGCAAGAGAAGCACTTGCATTTTGTAGCACACTGGAATTTACATTGCGATTTTCATTGGCCTCCATGCCTCCAAACTGATCCTTTAGCGTGGTAAGGACCTTCACCTCCACTCTCATGGTGGTCCCCCACAAACACAACATAACTAGTGGAACAATGGCAAATGTCCTCATGATCTCAAGGCTTTGAACAAACGCGTTTGTAAAGGATGAGTGGGCAAAAAGTGAGAACTGAAGAATGGAATCCAACGATCTTTGATTGGGAGGCTCCTTGCTGGCTACCGGTAGTGAGCTACTACAGCTGGGGAGAACTTTACGTCGTAGGTCTCCACAGTACCCAGCCGAACGTCACCCCGAGCGGACCAAAGGTTAGGTCTCTGTGGTAGTACCAAACAGAACAAGCTGCTGAACATAATCCGAAGCGGCCCAAAATAATAGTATTGCTCTGTCCACTGTCGCAACTGAGACGACCAGTGGGGCTAAATCTTCATTTTGGAACATGCTATGACGGGCTTTGCGGAGTTCTGGAGAAAGTGTCAAAAAGAATCGAATCAATGGCTACTATTAATAGACGATGACTTGAGCAAGAATGCATAGCCACCGAACGATACCGGTACTGCAGACGGCACGGTTTGCCTGTGCCGACCGCGATTGTCACCACGAAGGGATTTTTGAAAAAGGGTGCGGTCACACTTCAAATTCGTGAATCATCAGAATCAGAATCAACCAGAATCGTTGCAAAAAAGCCCCACTCAGACCTGCGGTTTATCCTTGAGCAACCGTGACCACCCTTTGCAACACAGCGGAGCTCACTGAAGTGCTGTGGCATTATTTATTAATTGAACAGATACGTGAATGGCTGCTGGTTGTAAACGTTCCTTCATTTATTATTAAGACTTGGATATGGGTGCGATGTGCGATGGGGTGTGGGGTGCTCCTCCTACATGTACATGTGGTTGCTGATCGATTCGACATCCGAAGGTGTTCTCGTTCCCGTGCAAAGCCAGAGTTTAGAATTTTGCCTTCTGGGCCAGTCTTCGTGAATAAAAAAAGTTGCGACCATGGACAGCGCTTCCAACCGCTACAAAAGTCCAATGGGCAAGGTTGGAGATTGGAGACGGCGTCCTCACAGTATTTTCAACCGTAGCACGATTTCACTAACGGTATTTAAAAGGGGCCGTGCGAATGGAGACACGCTGTGACTCTCGCTTTTCTCAAAACGTTTTCGTTGAAACATTGCTTTCAACTAACTTGAGTTTCAATCCTTATTGGTCGGATGACAAGTTCTTTAGAATGAGGGCGTGGACGGCTTCCAAATCGGTCAGCTTCCACTCCAAATCAGGCTATTGCTCTACAGAAGATGACTGTACCATGGATGTGCATGGAGGCCATTTTGTTCCGTCTATATTCGCAGACTGTCTCCAATCACCGTCACTTTTATAGGAAATCAACCTTCTTCTCGCTCATCAGAACGGTTTCAGTACAGCTCACAGGAGCCCTTTGTGGTTGGGTACCACCCTTGTCTTGGCTGTGCTCTTTGTGGTTGCCGATAACTTCAAGTCAAAGAGCGAAGATGGGCAAAAGCTGTACTTTCATAATCAAAAAACGCTACTTCTTTATTATTCAATATTGGCTCCGGGAAATGCTTCGTTGGCTGTGAGCGCTCAAAGTTTTGGGTTTCCTCACAGTAACTTGTTGTCTGTAATGGCAGCTTAGGAGGCACTGCATGATGGTGCCCCTGCATGTCTAGGTCCTATCTGGAACTCTCGTCCATGCTCTCCAGTTTTGGTGCAGTTGGACAAAGCACATAGCCGATTGGTGACGGGGCATCGTTTATGCGCAATCTTCTTGCCAGTGACACCCTTTCCCCGGATGCCCCATCGCTGTGCCATCCACTTATGAAATCTGGCGGTTTGTTGTTCTTCATTGTCTTGGTCTTCAGTGCCAAAGGAAACACCACCCCACACGAATGTGCCATGATTGACAGTAACATGTGCATATGTCCAGTCCACATACTTTAAGACCTCTTTGGGTTCTGCAAACAGCTTGACAACTGCTGTGTGTAATATTAGGTCACCATCTCGGTCTGTGTAAATGAGATTGGACTCGTCAAATTTGCGGACCAGTAGGGCCGGGAGTGGTTCATGCCACCAGGATACTTTGGTCACAGAAAAGTTGTTGTAGTAGCCAAATCGACCAATCTTGCTGTCACAGTAGGATCCCTCGATGGCACCGTGTTTGGGGACAATCTTATTCTTTTTGATGAAACGATCCATGAACGGTGAAAATTTCTTGGAACCGCATTCTTGGGACTCCTGCCTGTATCCGTAGACAGCATTCTGGTTGCGTAAAGCATCAAACATGTTGTACGGAATGGGTGACATGAAATTGGAGTCATCGTCCAGCCTCATCATGTAATCATAACCCAGCTCAGACAACACATTCCAAATGGTGACTCCGTAGAAGCGAATCATGTTCCGGTAGCCAACGGCCCATGGCATTTTCTTGCTTTTTGGAGGAACAATAGCACCAGGAGGAGGACCCCAAATTCCATCGGCATTCATCAAATTACAAAGCCTCACATTCATCCCCTGGAGCTTGTCCAAGGGTATGTCCGACAAGGCAAATTCTCCTTCATGCCACAACAATACATCTGCTGCGCGGACTGCTTTGTAGGCACTTTGCAATGAAAGCAAGGGTCCCGCAATATCCACAGTGTGATCGTCGGCATAACTACTGTGCTTCTTTTGAATCAGCATGACAATGGCGTCTGAGGACATTTTCCCTCCACCCTCGCAAATTGGTGGTTTGTCTTGACCTGCATTGGATCTTTGGGGGCTGTTAGGGCTGCTCGTGGCAACCTCGGTGGTTGTAGACGAAGAAGACGATGGAGCCACAGGGGTAGTTTGGATGTTGTCGCTTGTGCTGTTGGGAGGACTGGGCAACACAGCTTTGTCGGTAGGAGGGTCAGCAGGTGGATTTGCTGCACTGGGAACTTCCTTATCTGTGGTTCCAGGGACGGCTTGAACAGGAGTAGTTGTGTTTTGTAGCAGTTGGTCTTGAACACTCTCCTCTACCTTTTCCTTCACAGTAGTAATGAACTTCACCTCCACTCTCATGGTGGCCCCCAACAAAAACAACAAGACTCCTCCAACAATTGCAGATGCCTTCATGATTTCAATAGTAAGGAATACTAGTAGTCGGAAAATGGTCAAGTAAGTAGTGGCTGCCAGATAAGGTGCGTTTTGTTCCACTGGATTGGCACTCGAGCGGAACATTTTTTTCAAGCAGCCCTCGTCATCAACCCGACGCACTTCGAACTTCGAAGGCTGGGCTATTTTAAAATAGTGAGCTGTCATTGCTCTGTGCTGTCAACCAATTTGTAGGTAATATGTCCGTTTTGTACTCTAGCTAGGACACAAGAGACAAATTCTGGAAAAAGACTTATTTTGCAATTCAAGATGAACTGGCTTGTTAAGCCTCAGTCGAGTACAGTCGTACCGGTCGTGAAGAGAAGAGATGCCATTGGCCATACTATTATAGCTTTAGTACTACTTATGATTGTACCAGACGCCACTAGCTAGCTAGTAAGAAGAACTGCTATGCATGGTTTTAGTCAGGCCTTTTTTCGATCGAACTGGTGCCGTCCGGCTCGGTCATGGTTGCTTCTAAAGGCAACAGTTGTTGTTTATCTCAGTGTCGGAATGGCTCTGCCTTCTTTGATAGAATCATTCGAAACCGGTTTCGTGTCGAAGGGAGTTGGCGTGTCGAAGGGTATTGGCTAGAGTGACAATAATTTGGACAAGAGTGGTGCTCGAATTGGCGCTCTTGCGCCCTTTGAGTAGAGAGTAGAGGTGCGACGGGCGGGGATGCTGGAGCTCCAGCGGGAGCAACGCGAGCCCTTCATTGCAACAAAACCAGATTTGATTCGATTCCATGTTGTCTTGGCTCCCCCACGACGTACCGCAGCTCGTCCCCTCCACTGCAGAACCTTTCTTTCACCTAGTATACTCGTCGCTTTCAAATACTTTCCCTTCGCTCCTGGGCAGCAAAGCAGGGCGCCATCTTTCTTCAGGTCAATGCCATACGTGCCACAGACTCCAATTTGGTAGTTGGGCTGGTATAGTATCTATTTTGCTTCCCGTCGAGTAATCTGCAAACAAGGCTGATTTGGTGCAACCAAAGCCAATGCACAAACAGATTCAAACATGGCATCGGCAATGGGCCTACCTTCTTTCGCATTCACGCAAAACTCTCTAATTCGGATCGAGTGCTATAGTACCGTAAGTCCGCCCTAGCTTTGTGGGCAGCAAGCCGTTACGGTCTCGCTCAAACCAAACGATGTGCACTCAACAGTGGGAGTCTTCTGTTCAACCAATGTATTTGTCGGGTAGAGGAAGAATGGCACCCGAGTCGATGCAGCATTCTTCACCTGAAGAACAGGACCTCGACTGGAACGCATCGAACTTCAGCGGTGTGACGACATATAGCAGCACTCGCTTTGTTGCACATCCCACCAGCAGTAACGTACACAACGCCTCGCCGTTCACACATCGAAGCTCAAACCGTCGCAGCGACGCACTGGCCAATCGCAACACAACCGGCACTTTTCTCAATGTTTGTGGGGAATGAGAGTTGGGGCAGAGCATTTTCTCCAATTCCAATAGGACTGCCTTTTAGGATTGTGTAGGCCGCTTCCTAAGCTTGACTGTGGCTCTCTGCGTCAGCATGGGCTATGTTTTCATTGTTTTGACAAACGCATCAACCCCCACACTTTTTTCTCGGGGAACCTTTGTTAGATCTAGCTAGCTAGTGGTTACAACCTCTTCCGCTTTCAGACGTGGATATTCGGAGAGGTGCTTCTCCGAGATCTTTTCTTTTTGGATTTGGGATCTTTTTGCCGCTTTGTAGCCATCTCTGACCTCCTCTTTTTGAAAAAGCACAAAACGGTAGCGGCCATCCATCCACCAACTAAACTCCACCCCAATTTTTATTAATACCATGGGTTCGAATGACGACGACGATGACAGCCCCTTGGGCTCTGGCCTGGGTACCATTTTACGCTTTACGGGAAGCAATGTACCGTCCCGTGCTCTGTACATTGGAGAAGCTTTCGTTTCGGCATCCCTCTTTAGTGTGACGATCGGATTGTGTTTTGGTTCCGTGGGAGCCGTGATCTTTCCTAACACGTGTGGTCCCTTGGTGCCCTTCTTGACGGGATCCTCGATCGGGTACACATTTGGACTGTACGAACATTATTCCAGTGTCAAGCGGAACATGCTGGTTCATGCCCGCCACTATCCGACACTGTTGGCTCATGCCATGTGGTCCGAACACAAACGAGTCGTCCCCAAGTCGGTCATGGAAGCGAGTCGACAACAAGAAGAAGAAGACAATCCACAAGAAAGTAGCAACGTGACAACGTCACCACCCCTCTTGTACCAACCTGAGGTTGAAAATGTTCCGTTGGATCAGTGGGTCTTTCTGGGAGGGTTGGGACGACTCACCTGGTCCATGTTGGCCTCTCAAAATTGCAAGGCCAACGTGACCGCCATTGAAGAACAAAAGCGACAACGATTGGTGGATTCTATACTCCAAGAACACGAAGGAAAAAATGATGACAACAGCAATGATGATTGATGTTTTTACCTATAGTATGGCATAAAGAATTATGAAATATCAGTATGTAGCGTATCCCAAAAATACGGCTGTGATCTCATTTGGAGTCTTTATCATCCCTGAAATAACAACGAGTCTGGCTGTATTCTTCCAGCTAGTTTATTGCTTGCCAAGGAGGAGCCTGCCGGTACACAGCGTATGGTCGGTAAAACCAATATCCGAGCGCAAGGTACCGGCACGAGCTCGATTCTTTCTTAGCACGCTCGATTCTTTCTTATCATCAGCATCCATCCATCCACCCATCTATTGATTGATCTTTGGATTGATTATTATTGCTCTTGCTTCTGCTGTAACGTGAGTATTTCTCCTCGACACATGGTGATTTGAGTCGTTTGGGGTGTGGTGACGGTCAATTTCTTCCAAAGATGAGGTTTGTGAGTGGCACAAACAACGATGGCTCCGGAGCCTGTCACCAGGTGGAGCAATGCCTCTTGAACTTTGGAAGAGATTGCTTGGGTTTCCAAATCCAACCATTCGTCCAAGAGCAGGATGGGCGCGGGGATGACAATCGTCGCGTCATGCAATAATAGCCTAGGTAGACTACTCTGCAAGCAGGCCAATGCCAATCGTAGTTTGTAGTTTTCCGAGGGTGATAATTGTGCTGGCGTTTGTTGTTGATGTTGTGGGTCCAACTGGAGCATGGTAGAAATTGTGCTGATCACAGTCTTCACAAAAGGTCTACTCTTCTCCTCGTTCAGGTCAAATGATAGTTGTGTTTCTCGTTCCAACAACTCTTGCACCGTGTTTTGGTTGTCATACGGTGGTTTGTCGGCCAACCAAATGGGGACAGCCGTGCTTCTTTTATGGATACTCCCACTCGTAGGTTTTTCTTCGTGTCCTGCCATGAGCTTCATCAACGCCGATTTTCCACTCGAGGATGCTCCTTGTAACAGCACAATTTCCGATTGTAGCTCCAGACTGACATTGTGAATAGCATAGTCTCGTCGTGGTACCGAAGAGAAGAGACGTCGGGCCAATGTAACGGGGTATTGCAGCGATACTTGATCAAGTGTCACGTGAGCTCGTTCAAATAATGGAATGGTGAGAACGTCAGAGGTAAGGGATGTCCCAGACGAAGAATCAGTGGAGGCAGACAGCGTCGCCACAGGAAGTTTCACTGGCCATCGCTGCTGTTGTACTACTAGGGAGAAGGCATTGCCACAGTCGAACAAACAAAGCCACAGCCACAGTGGTAGGAAGACGTCAATGCCTCTGACGGCCATTGTTACTAACAAAAACTACTTCTTGTCAGCAGGACACCACGACATGGATCATCTCATCGTTTAATTAAAACAGCAAGGCCGAGAAAATACTTGGAACGGCTACGAAAGGGTTTCGCTTTGAAGCTTCGTACTGTAGTATGATGCTGCGAAGAAGACCATGAAGAGGGCAGTGCTGTATGAGGCACCCTGGGATGAAGCCAATCTGGAGGCAAAAAGGGCACTACTTCGAGAACTCTCCTCAATCTAACTTGCCATCCGCTTTTTCGATGAATAGAGTTGGAGGATATGTTCTTTGGGAACCTGGGCCCAGATACGATAATCGTAGTTTCGTGTGACGAATTGCGATGATACAATTCCGCCTCGGTCGAAAAGAGAGCTCCACGTCACATCATCGATCCTAGCTAGGTTTGCAGAGAAGCAGGACTTGTACGTACAAGTCGTAGAATCGAAGGATAAAGCCAAACTGGATGATGACATAAATCCATTGCTCTTCGAATCAAGTAGTTGCGCTACGAGGCATGGGCAATGGCCTAAAACTTGGGTCTTGTTTGACCGTTTGGGCGGGTCAGGTCGGTGTTGGTTTTGTTTTGGGAGGAGAAAGTTTTCGGTGGACTCATTTCCGCCTCTCGGACCCGGTAAAAACGTACTGTGTTCCACGGGCAAGCCAACGCAGACATGGAATTGGTTTCACGCCAATCTCTTTCATTCAGCAGTCATGAATCTTATAGTATGCGGTATTAGCACGACCACGCACAGCACCAATGACCCAAGAAGAGTGCGATTTTGGCTGGAGGCCAGCCGGTGGACCTATCCGAAAAGATGCTACCTCTACTAGCTAGCTGTGGCATAATCACCATAGAATGTTTCACTGCTGTAATACCATTGAAATCTGCGTACCGTGGCAGAGGAAGATGAGACTGTATAATGGTGGTGAGGAGGAGGTACCGGTATAGGCGTGAAGGGTTATAAATTAGGGTTATAAATTAGGGTTATAGTGGCATCATCGTACTCGTATCGTCTCGTATCGATGTATTCATATTCTTCGTGGAAACACAGGAGACCTACTAGGAGAAACTAGAAACCTATAGGAAGAGGCCAAAGCCCAGGGGGGAAGTAATGGACTGTTTCATCATGATCACCGATTGTACTAACCTTTGGACTTGATCGACTTATTGGACTTGCGGAATTCCCGATGCTCCTCGTGAGCTTCCAGCCAGCGTCTACCGCAATGGTACAACGCCATGGTGTCTTCCTTCGAAAGCCCCCCTTTGCGACCCCGTCTCCGACGACGGTCGGACTTCGCTACAACTGTGGGTTGAAGTCGGTTCCATACCAGTTGCTGTATAGACATGTTGCATTTGAAATCCATTCCTAAAAGTAAAGAGTTAAAATCAGGTGAGTTCCATCCGTGAACCTTTAAAAGTTCCTCGATATCCAAGTATTTTCTTTCAGTTCACCAATTATTGAAGATGGTCCTTCACCACTGATTGCTTGATATACAAAGGCATACCTTGTAATCGCCGCTCCAGTTCCCTCTGCTCTTCGCCATTGTCGACCTTAATAATAAACAAAAAACATGATGTTCGTCGAGCTGCCATGATTGATGGATTCTGTCATTTTAGGGTTCATCCCACTCCAAAGCACAAGTCTTGCCCTTGTAGTCAACGCGGAAGCGAGCTTCCATGTGATTGAAGAAATCAGTACCAAGTACGTCGATGTCTGTGAAATGTCTGTCCTGCGGGGAAAGAGTGACCTCCTGGCGGGTCTCCCCGTTCAAAGTCACCCTTATAGTAGTATTCCCGACGTCCTCGCAGCAACCCTCCATCAATCTGTCCCAGGTTGGTTTTCCAACAAAGGTGCAAGTGGCACCCGTACGGTATCAAGGAGAAAGACCGTCTTGATTGTTTTCCCGCGAAAGCTAATGATGCAGGGAGCAAAGCATCGACTGTACCTTGCCACGACGATGCATACCATTCAGAGGGGATTTAACTTTGGCAGCATCCCCGGAAACATCAGAACGGTTAACAAACCCCAACTGGGCTGCGATTTCTCCCAAAGTAACAACCCCTTCTTCGTGGGCTCTACGCTCATTCTTCACATCGCTTAAGAGAATATCGAAAAAGGGATCTTGGAGAACAGGCTTTCCTTCCATCATGGTTTATGTTGTTGTTGTTGTTGTTTGTTGGTCCTCATCGTAAGCATATTAGTAGTATCTCGCAAAGCCAAACCATTTGGCCCCCGTAATGGTCCTCACTTTCTTGCCCCTGATCCCACCGAACCTAGCTAGTCCAGCATTTCGACTGTTCTTTGCTTACTGGCCCCGGCTGGCTTCCGTAGATAATTTCCCTACTCTAAACCCCCCCTCAGTAGTAGAGCAAAACGGGTCAAAGACTACTAGCTACATCGTACTAGCCAGGTAGCAAAACTAACCTACCAGTACCAGCTTACTCGGAATAGCATTCATCTGCTGTACCCTGAACCCTACCGAGGCGCGGACAAGAAAAGCCACTGACAAAAGCCAGCAAGCTTGCACAACTACTGGTTTCACGAAGCCCTTTCCTCTTTCGCCTTGAACACATTTTTTAGGTTTATTCCCAAGTCTTCGTTTCCGTGTCCAGAGCTATCATACAGTACAGTATCAAAGCTGATTTTCTTCTATTACATGTACAATTGATTGCTATTGCCAGCTAATATAGCTAGTATGAGACGTTCATCTTGCTCTACTACTAGTATTTGTGCCTGTGGTTGCGCCAGTTGTTGTTGGAAGCTTCAGCAAGTGGTGGTGGCACTGGTGCTGTTTGCCCTCATTTTCTTCTCTGAATTTACAGACTTTGAAAATGCCCAAGACGCCGCTGCGAACGGCCAAAAGAAGGGTCACAATCACAATACGGTTCATCAAGTAACGTCAACCACAAAGAAGAAGAAGACTCACCACGAAAAGAAGAAAAAGCAGCCACAGCCTACCAATTCACCGCCAGTTGGAGAAAAAGTCCCATCCTCAGAATCCAACAATAATAATGAGCAGACTCCAGTTCCCACAACTGAACCTACAAGACTCCCCACATCTGCATCTCTACCGACGAGCTTGAGACCATCTGCTTCACCTTCGTCTAGTCCAAGCAGTGAACCTTCATCTTATCCTACGGCAAAGCTGAAAGAAAAAGCTATCATGACCATGGAACCTTCTGATTCCCCCACATCCCAACCTTCCTTGTCTCCTAGTAGCACCTCACACGACGTAGTACTACCCATGGTCATGCCAACAGCCCCCAAATCTACTATTGCTACAGCTGCTACTACTACTACCAATATTATTGTGGATGACGACTTTATTCGGAACTGCGTGATCCAGCAACAAAAACACAAACCCAAGCCATTTCCCGTGGTCGATCCACCCAATTATCGCCTTGCCGATTGTGTACAAAAATGTCGCAAATGTCCTACAACCGCAAGTGCTGACAACAAAAACAATAACAACAATAACAATACCATGGCATGCTACTATGCATCATTGGCGTGTCCCAAAAAGAAGAAACCCAAAACCAAAACCAATTGGACATCCTTGTTTTTGCAAGATATTTTTCCACAATTTGAAACGCAACCGGGATTTCACAAACCTCCATCGGATGCACTGGTCCTCCATTTGCAATTGGGAGCCATTATTGAAAAATCCAACGACGACGTGCTTTCCTTGCTACTCCATGGTAACAACAACATTCCAAGTGTATACGACCTTGTGGCAGATATACAACGCGCCAACACAACAGCTGAGTTTATTATTTACGTCGTGGGGCGTGTCCGGTGGCGGAGTCAATACAAAAAGTCACGCGTCTATGCCAATTGTCTCGTACAGAGTTTGCAAAACACACAAAAATTTGCTACAACACCACCACATGTCGTGGTATCAACATTGGACGATCCCACCACGGCCGATCAGGATTTGTATTTCATGGCACACGCATCGACACTATTAATACCGTCGGCGGGAGGGTATTCCACATTGGCCGCACGATTGGTACAACAATTGGGTGGGACCGTCATTGAACGAACGTCGTTGTGAAAAGCAACAAAACACTGGGATGAACAAAACAGCAAAACAATGGGATGAATGACCAAACAAAACGGCTCCAAAGCCCTGTGTTGGCCCTGTCCAACGGTCGCACTGATAGCATCATTCTCTTTTTGTGCGTGGCAATCTGGCGGCCTACGTCTGAACAAGTAAGTGTACACGTACGGTACGAACGCGTCCCGGGGCAACGGGCGAGCCCAACTCTAGCTAGCTAGCCTCTGAAGCGTTGCTGAAGAAAGGCTGTCGTCGAGCAGGAATGTCGAGCAGCTTATGTAACTCTTGTTTCACGACAAAAGTATTAGCGTTACAGTTTAGTGCTGGGATTAGGGCGGTTTTAAGTGCGACTTTGTAGAGGCGCTCTGTCGGTCGCATGTATGTATTTTAACATCGGAGGTGTTGCCTTGGACGACCTTGACTCCGTTTCGAAATGGGAAGACACCACGGCTGTCACTCCTAACATCCTTGTGGCCAAATTGGACCATGCCCGGCCCGGCCTCGCTTCCAATTCAACCGGGAGAGGCGAACTAGCTACTGTAACTAGCTAGCCCAGTCTTGGCTGCTGGTTGTGCCATTTTTCGGTGGTGGGCTCAAGCTTGGTTCTGCCAGCAAAGCCTTCATGCAACTTTGGCGTGTACCTACCGCACGACTACAAGCAATGCAACTCTTGGAGCTGATCGAGTTGCTCTCGAGTGGCTTCATCAATTGTGCGAGTGCTGTCTTGTCTGCCAAACGAACAAGGCAGGCCCAAAGAAATGTCTTCGAGAACTTCCGCCTGGCCTCCTTCCATGTCACATTCCTCAAAGGGGCTCCCAACATTATCCCGGTCGCTGCTAGTATCATCTTCGTCGTCATCGTCAAAGTACACGTTGTCTCCGCACTCTACTATGTGATGTGCTACATTGCCATCAAAGGGAGTTGGTGGTTCGGGTTGCGGTTCAGGAGCGGAGGCAGGAGGTGGATGTGGTGTCCAATCAGCAGGACCCTCGTACTCGTCTTGGTCGGACAGGCAAACGCTTTGCTCCTCGTCCGATGTCAGGATGTAATCGGAGAAATCCGCTACGTGACCGCTTGTTTGGGCACCAAAGGATGCTCTGTGGGTGTCATTATTGCCTTGTGAGGCCCCTTCCTTGACTGGTGCGTGCCCTTCGACCACGTCCGGTTGGTTGCATGAGTCAATGCTTCTGGCAAGATCATCCTGCTGCCTTGGGATCTCGAGGTCGTCCAATGCTGAGGTCGTAAAACCAACCTGGATTTCTCGAACAGGTGGCGGTGTAGCAAAGAAGAAAGACGATCCTCCAGAATCTCTCACAGTGTTTTCAGTAACCGTCTTTTCATTGACTTCATTGTCACAGCAACAGCAATCACCGTCGCCAACGCTCAGGACATTCCGGAGACTGCGCCAGCTGCGTTGATGATGAAGGCCACTTCGAAAGTTTCCAGATGTCCCTTCATCTGATGGCGCTGGCTTGCTGCAGTTCAAGCAGACCCCTGATTTGTTGGAACGATGGCATGATTTCTTTGCCAGTGTTGCCAAGGAACGAAATGACTTTGAAATCGGGCCTGTTGACAAGACATCAGTAAAGAAGTTGGCATGGAAGATTTGTGTCAAATCATTGGGGTGGATGAGCATACTTGGCATTCGAGAAAAAATGCTTCCACTTGAGGATACCGAATCAGCATCATCACCACTGTCCACACCGGCACCTCCATCCAAACTGTTCTGATTCTTTTTTCGTCCACAACGGCAGAGGCGGCGATGGCTCCTACCTTGATACATCAGGGCAGTTCGCTTAGACTGAATGTATTCAATCATGGAGTTCATGACTCGAATCTCCAGGCGAATTCGTACAGAATAGAGCAAGCCCCACAGGCACATGGCTACCATGTCACCAAATAGAATGGCCAGTAGAATGCATAGGAGATCACAGAGTGCTACAAAGGCCAAGACAGCCAACCCCTTGTTTTGCACTTCAGTCCATTGATAGTGTGACATCTGACGGACAAAACTAGAACTCAAGCTGGCTTCAGCCATTCCCCATAGACCAATGGAGATGGGCATGAAAATGCCATTGGCTTGTTGCCACCCTTCCTTCTCAGGGAACAGGTGAGATGTGGCCCAAATGGCAGCTCCAATGAAACTCACTGGTAACATGGCCAGATTGATGCAGAGGAGCCGTTGCCAGGTTTGTTCAGCATTAGGATATGTTAGGGATACCTTGCGAGAGACAAGCATCAAGGAAGTGTGTGTCATGAGCAGCATGTTGATGCTCAGGGCAGTTGTGAGGCCATAGCTGTTACTGTCACTATCACTGATCAGCAGTACGGCATTGAGGAAACAGCCAATGGCCTGTAGATTGGCCGAAAGAGCACTGAGGCCGACTAGTATATTGTACTGATTCTCCTTTTGAAGAAAGTCTTTGCGAAACAAACCCTTCTCCACTACCCACTGATATGTACTGCCAGCCACCCAGGAAGAGAGCAGTGTTGCTGTGAAGAGGATGCCAAAAGTTCCTCTTTCCGCCATATCATGGCAGAGTGGTAGGTTCATGCTTTATCTTTTGGCTGAGTGGTTTTATCGTGTTAGTATGATTGAAAAACAGTAAGCTGGTGGGAGGAGGGTGTCGAACTAGCACCAATGGAGGTCTTGACCAGAGGGAGGAAAGAGACCTCTAGATGGAGGTACGATGCGGCAAAGTCGAATTATGGTACCGACGATAAGAGCTGTACTCTGGTCCAATGCTCGCTGGTGGTACCGAAAGTGTGAGCTGCTATCTTGAAACAACGATGACGCCCACTTCTACCGGATGAAGGAAGCTGTGTACGATGGACCTGTTGACATTCGTCTATCGTCCATCGTGGTTGCTGCAAGCTTTCGTTTTTCGTTGTTCGACTTTCTTGTGCTTTGGTGCTTCCTGGATCCCACGGTTGTTCGGGATTCTGGGCTTCTGCGGTGTACAATCTATCTAGCAACTACTAGTTACGGTAGTTGGACTGTGGCTGGAGATGCTTCACCGTCGATTGATAGTCTACTTGGAAAAAGAAGCAGTTTCCTACAGAATCTGAAGGAAATGGTTTCCGCAGAATTCGTACCCGGTCTCCTGGTTTAAATACAACTGGCAACTAGCTAGCCCAACCACAGATCATGATGAATAGAGCTATGAATAGAGTTGCTTCCCCTAATCTATGTATTTCTGGTGCGCTTTATCAGCTAGAGGTAGCTAGTATTCGTTGTTGCTGAGGGGTAACCAGGGCCGAACGACGACAAGTCCGACTCCCACGGCGAAGATCCTAGCACTCCACAATGACTATTAAACAGCGGGTACCATGCTGAACACGCTGCTTCGATTCCGTTGGCACCGATACTGAATGATGAGCAGTCGCCGAGGCGACGAGGCTTGTACGCCGATATCCTGACTGATTTGCAAACCAACTAATCGAGTCTTGTAGTTTTGAACAAACTTCTACAGTTTCGGAGTTCTTGCGGACCGTTCGCTCGAGTCTCCAGAATACATCTGGCTTCAGGAATAGAGGTTACGGATGATCCATCATTCCAGTGGAGATGCGCCATTGCTTGTGGCGGTCGCGGTTGGCCGCTTGAGAGATGGCGGTGAAATCAGCAAGCTTTAACCACTGATCTGTAGCAACCCTTTCTTTTGCTGCTTTCATCGTCTTCGCAGCAGTCTCGTCGAGAGTGAGGATACGGTACCGTGCTGAAGGACCTGGACTTTTCAAAACACGAGACTGTTGTCCATGTTTCGAAAAGCAGCAGTCGTCGAGCCAGAGCCCCGCCCGGTCACGGCTTTGGGATCGGAAACGACTCCGGCTCGAAGCAAAGGCATCCAGATCATGCTCGACCTAGACAGCGTATTGTCGTCTTATCTTCTTTTGATTGCCAACAAACCAGGCCCAGCAAGTACTCGTGTTTTCCTATACAGCTACAAGCAATCCAAGTCACGGAGTTGCTTGAGTTGCTCTCGAGTGGAGCCATCAAGCGTGCATGTGCTATCCTGTTTGTTGAACGAAGATAGATGGCGCAAATTTGGGTGACCCGTCCTGCCGGAACGAGGTAATTCCGCCACTCCATGCTCGATGTCCAAAGGGGTGCCAACATCCTGATTTGTGGTTGTATCTTCTTTTGCTTCAGCGACTTGATCCACGTTGCCACCCTCCCCAACAACAAGTGGCTCGACTGCCACATTGTCATTGCGTTGCTCTCCGTCATCCTCTTGCGATGACTGTATGGCTGATTGTTCCTTTTGATGACTATTGGAAATGGAAGCTGGAGGTTCTAAAGGTTCGATAGCCACGTGTGAATCTGGACTGGTATCTTCATCTGAGGAAGAAGAATCACTGTCGTCCTCATCCGATGACAGGACAAAATCAGACAAGTCCACCACTTCACCGCTAAAGCGAAGAACAAAGGATCCTCGGGTACTGTCATTGTCCCTATCATCAACCTTCCCATCGTTGATGTTGTTGTCGCTGTGGCTTTTCAAGGTTTCTTCCTCGTCTTCTTCTTCTTCATTGGCTTCCTGGTGGCTTTCACTCGTCATGTTCAATGACCGCACCACTCGATGACCGCGTTGTTGGGAGTAACCCGAGTAATCGAGCGCACGAGAATTAGAGTTGCCCATGTCACTGATGTGGTTTGACGACGAATCAATGTTGTCATTCAATGTAGTAGAACCAAGCCTAATTTCACGAACTGGTGGAGGTGAAACAAACAAGAAAGACGATGTACCCGAATCTCGCACCGTGTTTTCAGTGTTTGCCCTATCCTGGATATCATCTTCACAACAACAGTAACCAACATCACCGCTCAGGACATTTTTGAAGGTGAAGCTGCGATTGCTTCGGAAACTCCCAAGAGTCAACTCATCTGACATCATGCGCCTGCTGCATTTTGGGCATACATCAGCACTCTTGCCACCATGCCGCGACTTCTTGGCGAATGATGCCAATGATTGGAGGGACCTGGCGAAACCGGTACGTCCTCCTGTCAATACATCATTGAAAAAGTTGGCTTTGAAAAGTTGGGTCAAATCGTTGGGATGGATCACCATGTTGGGCATGCGAGAAAATATACTTCCTCTTGAGGATACTGAACCGGCATCAGAGTCCCCGTCATCACAATCGAAATCGAGACCACTTTCTGAATTGTTCCTTTTCTTTCTTCGGCGTCGACGATTGCTTCTCCCTTTGTACATGGTAGCAGCTCGTTTGGCTTGAATATATTCAATCATAGAGTTCATGACTCTTACTTCCAGTCGAACTCGTACAGAATAGAGCAAACCCCACAGGCACATGGCTGTCAAGTCACCAAATAGAATGGCTAGTACAAGGCAGAGAATATCACATAGTGCCACAAAAGCCAAGACTGCCATACCCTTGTGTTGTACTTCCGTCCATTGATACCGTGACATTTGGATCACAAAATGAGAGCTCAAGATGGCTTCCGCCAGTCCCCACAGACCAATGGATAATGGCACGAAAATGTGATTGGCACGTTGCCACCCTTGCTTCTCTGGGTGCAGGTGTGAGGTGGCCCAAATGGTAGCTCCAATGAAACTCACAGGTAACATGGCCAGATTGATGCGGAGGAGTCGTTCCCACATTTGTTCGGCATTGGGATATGTCAGGGAAACCCTTCGGGAGATGAGCATCAAGGAAGTGTGTGTCATGAGGATCATGTTGATGCTCAGGGCAGTCGTGAGGCCAAAGCTGTCATTGTTGTCATCACTTTGCAGCACCACAGCATTGAGGAAACAGCCGATGGCTTGTAGATTGGCTGTAAGAGCACTGATGCCAACTAGCACATTGTACTGATTTTCCTTTTGAAGAAAGTTCTTGCGAAAGAGACCCTTCTCCACCACCCACTGATATGTACTGCCAGCAACCCAGGAAGAGAGCAGCGTTGCTGTGAAGAGGATACCAAACGTGGCCCCGTCCACTTCTTCAGAGCAGACGAGGAAAGTCATAAGATCTCCTTCTTTGCTCTTGGTAGCTGAGTAATCGACTGAAGAACTAAGAGGGCAAGTCTAGGTCTGGCAACTAGCTAGTAGCTAGGTGAGGTCTTGGCCGACGAGAGATTACCGGTGGCTGCAGAGAACGCTATGGGCTTGGACGATGGCTTGGCGGCAATCAAATTAACCAATGGGTCTTCAGACAACTGACGCTGTCCCGCTGGGATTCTGTCTCGCTCTTGCTATTATGCTGCTAGCTATGCTGCTTATCTTTAGAGATCATATTGGCTGATGAGCAACGAGTGGGGCAAGAACTCAATGGTCAACGTCGGTGCTCTGATGAACGATCAAGGAGGATCCTCACCAAATAGAAGAGAGGCTCCTGATCACGGTATTGGGGTGACGGGGAAAATGGCACTGGCTTCCTCACAATTCTCCGCGCCGCTGCAAGACTTACTGGTGTGGAAGAGCTGCAAGGTCCGGAAGCATGACTGAAATCCTTTTTGACAGTTTTCAAATGAGAAATACGAAGTTTCTCATTTGAGAAACGAGTTTCTCAAATGAGATTTTATTAGATAAATAGTTTCTATTAGTCAATGTTAAAAAGTTTTAAATAGTTATGTAGAAACATATTTTATTTACAAATGAGAAAATAAACTGTTAGTTTCTCTACTTGAGAAACTAGAAATGAGAAAATGAAACTAAAAATGAGAAACTAAAACTGTTTGAAACATTTCAACACTTCATATTGGTTTCCGAACTTCCCGACCTTGCTGTGGAAGTGTGGTACACGCACCGGTATTCGTAATTATTTGCAATAATTGTTCCGGTGCAACTTTACGGAAGAGCTACCGAAGAAAGCTGAGAAGTGTTAATAGTTACTACTATTATAGTACTGAGTATACTATAGTACTCACTACCGTTTAAGAGTTTGAAGCTCCTACGAGCAGGAAAACTTCCCCGGAAGGTCCTGCGAAACATGAAAATCTGGAATTGAATTCATCACTAATTAAATATTTTCATCACCATTCATCACCATTCAACACATTGGTGATGAATTCATCACCATTCATCACATTTCATCACGGTTTCAGCATTTTCATCACCATTCATCATATCTACAGTAAAACAGTACTATTTTTCATCACGATTCATTATCAATTCATCATTTTCATCACCATTCATCACCATTCAACAAACTGGTGATGAATTCATCACCATTCATCACCATTCAACACATTAATCACAAATTTATCATAATTAAACTATTTCAATATTTGCGGGACCTTCCCGTGATTTATTTATTTGACCATCGGAAATTTGGAATTATTGTAAAAACTGTACTGTCACAGCGACGCTTTGCAAGTGGCATCTCAGCAAAATAGGTAGGGCCCTGATTTCTTAAATGTCATTTTGCTGGCCATTAAAAGACCCAACTGAACTTCATTGAGAAAGAAGGCTGGGTTGCAGGGATGCCTTAAACATTAGTTGTTGCGACATTCAGTCATGGGGTAAACGTTAATTAAAAAGTAATAGCGTGTGAAAGGTACATACAAAAGAAGCATCTTTTCTCATGCTTCGACCACCCACCGGTGTTTCCACTGGCCAAACAAATTTATCATGCGGGCAATCAGGAGTTTCTTGCAATCAAGGCACTACTAGTGGACTACGTGCAGCGAGCCCGTGGATTCATGCAGCTTCCACTGCCATTTTAGAAATTGGACCAAGATCTTTTTCATTGCTTGCTTCACAAGATCATCACACCCCACAACTACTTTCCTTAGCACTTGCGGGACGGCGATTAGCCCAACTTAGCGGGGTCTCGCTTTTGGCTTCTAACTGAACTCCTGTGGTCACCACGAAGAAAACAAAGATCATGTGTGAGATGCCCCAGAAGACGGACTGACAGAGAGAATGGGCAAAAAAACAATCAACAAGGACCTGGATTAGCAGAACACTCATCATGTTGGCCCTTAAAGTAAGTTTTCCTGGAGGATGGATACACGGACTCCATGGAGCTTGATTATGATGTCACCGACATCGCTGATTCGCAATCTACGATCGGATGGGGCCACATCCTCAAAGGCCGAATCTCCAATCTTTGGGCCCAGAAACAAGGCCAACACCTGACCAATCGCAAACTACAAAAACCCAGAAAAAATGGCCAGTCTTGGCTCACAGGCCTGACCCACGAAATGTTCAAACAATGGAGGGGCCTCTGGGATGCTTGCCAGGAGGACGGACATGGCAAGGATGCCCAAACTCAAGCCCAAGCAGAAAATTGACAACCAATCCACGAACTCAACTTGGTATGCACCAAATACACTGACCTTTTACTCCCCAAACATGAATGGCTCCTTCACACACCATTCCACACCCGAGCCCAATGGCCAACAGCTTCAATTTGACATTGGATCAACACCTGGGAACCCGTCCTGCAAGCGAGTTACACAGCTCGACTTGAGACAGGATAACGATGGGACACTCCCACCTCTTCCTCCCTCCCTGCAACTCTCTGACAATTCCTCGACCTTCGACCTCTGAAGTTTGGCATTTCCTTATGGAATCTGCCACTGTAGATTACTGTAGTATTGCATCAATGCACCACCTCTTTGGAGGGTTTTTCTGGTGAGGGTGCCATTGGCTGCCTCTCTCTGTGAGCTAAGAGGGTTGGGCAAGACTAAGGGCATCTCCATGAAAAGAGGCAGTGTCAGTGCTCATGTTTGTTCTCTGCTGTAAGGAGCTGTCAGGTGAGGTGTCCCCGCACCGGTAGAGATGCGAAACCGCAATCTGAGCTAGCTAAAGGAATATATGTAGTATTCTACCTTTGTTGCTTTCCAAATCTCTGAAAGATCACTATTTTGGATACGGCCATCAGGAACTTGTTTGCAGACCAACCAACATTCCCATCTGCCAACCAATTCATCATCACAAGTCATTTCTCTTCCAACTCATCACAGTCCTCATAGTACTTGTCTTTAGAATTGCTTCCCCACCAGAACCAATCTACCAATCGTAAAGCAAGCTTGCCCAAACTCTGAATAAAGAGGACTGTAAATATAGTCACCCAAAAGGAGTCCTTTTCGAGCAGATTCACCAGGAATTTGGGAGTGGATTCCGGGAGTAAGGCTCCAAATAGGTCCACCAAGTAGGGTACACCTTGAATCATTTCTACCAACGAAATTGCTGAGATGGGTGCCACCAGCATGGATACCAACTTGAAGACCAAGATACGAGAGGATGCTCTGGCATAGATTGTCCTCAAGAGACGTCGAAATTCTTGTAGATCCAATCGTCCTCCTCGATCCTTGTCGGCGAGTTTGAACAGACGCATCACCCGTTCTCGAGAGGGTGGAGGGATGGGCGCTTGCTGATTTACAAAAATGTAAAACTTGAGGACAAGCTCGTACACCTCTGCGGGAGATATCCCACCATCCTTGTTGGTATCCGCGTCGTTGAACAGCTTTGTCACATACTTGTCTAGAATGAACCTTTCTCTGGCGTCTGCTGTCCTCGCCAGGGAACTGCCGCCTCGTGATGACAAGGCGCGCCCTGGTAGCGACAGTAAGCGAGGAATTCGTCGGAAGCCATTTGTTGGACAGATGATAAGGCTAAAGACCAATAGCAATAAGACGGAGAAGGTCTTTGACATCATGGTGGTCCTTGCTATCTAGCTGTACAGGTCGGAAGTTGACAGGATAAACGAGTGTGGATGGTCATGCCATTGCTTGATGCTTCAAGCTGGGATCGAGTATCTTTTTTGCAGTCACGGATACTTGTAGTCACGGACGATCCAAAAAACAGGAAGATAGCTTCCGAATGGAGGTAGATGCGGTAACAATACTTTGAATCAAAACATAGTATCATAGTGCTACTAGTAATAGCAACAGATATCTTTACAACATATTTACCTTAACTACCTTTACATTGTATTGAGGAGCCCAACACCACTTATCGCCATACTAGTCTAGTAAGCCCATCCCAACAGAACAAAAAATAGGTCCGGGTCGTTTGCCTGATGCACATGCAGCTCGCACAAGTAGCAAGAGACTATGCATACATGTAAGAAAAGGAGGCAGCAAGAAACGGCGGCAAGAGAACCTAGTAGGGTTAACTTGACAACGTCTTGCTTCAATCCCTCGAAGCCAGCACGTACCGGTATGCTGGTTTAGTTCCCCAGCTAATAGTATTGGGCCCTCGGGCTCGATTCGTACCAGCGTTGACAAAGGTCCTCCGGACCAGATAGGTAGTCTGCCTAAAACTAGTATTTTTTATATATATTGGGGTGCGAAGCATATGGATTGAATCATTTAGATAGTTGCATTCGTACGTTTCAACTGGTTGGTTGTTGTTGAGGAGTCCTGGTCTGTTTACAAACAGAACAGACCAGGTTGGTTTCACCGAACCGGTACCAGGACTCTAGAGGGTGGTCCGATCTTGGTACGCCAATAATAAGGACAAAAGATCCAAATACTCCATTGCACAACGGATAATGTTCTGGTGACCTACCCATGGATATGTGGATCCTGATCTACTACCAAGTATCACCTCGCCAAAAATAATGTTGGAACATTCTTGACAACACAAACGCCACAAGGATCCACCTCGAAATCCTGGCCATGGCAGCGGGATTGAAGGGCTGTGGTGGGAGTGAAGCGCTACCCTGGCCAGCTACCTGGCGCAGTGTACAATTCTACAGCGCATGTACGTGATGCACTGGGGTGGTACCGTCATAGGAGCCTTGGTTGTTCGTGCGGTTCCAAGGCGTTCTTTCCCAAGGTTTGCGAAGCACCATCCGAGTGAAAATATAAATGACCCGGCCAATCTCCAGGAAACATCTTTTACTAGACTTGGAGTAGACTACAGTACGCCTACTTATTGAATTGAATCGGAAGATTTATGTTCGCGGGTCTATGGTAAACCTTTCGAAGCATTACAAGGGAACTTGGGTATAATAGACGACAGGCCACGCAGAGAGCAACCGATCGAAGCCATCCAGAGAATCCAGAGCCCTCTTGGAGGCAACATTCATTTAGCACCCCTAAAACAGCTACTACAGTAGTATCAGCCCCGGTAACCATCCATCTCTTAGCACCTCGGTAGTTTCGTGTCATTTGGTTTGGATGGCTATGGATCTTTTTCTTGCTCCATCGTACGGTACGGTACCTGGTAGCTGGCTGGCTGGAAGAAGGCAAGTCCTAGACCGACTAAGTTGCGGCTTTGAAACACAGCGGTTTCCAACTCCTCGATTTGATGTTGTCTTCCTTCCACCCTTGCTTGTCTCCAGCAGTAAAACCAACAGTGGTGGCAGGCTGATACTGGTTGCTGCGTAGCTTGAATCAATTCTCCTTTGTGCCAAGTTAGTTTTATCGGTTGCCGCTAATCTCTACTCCAGTAGCCAGCTATCTAGTAGGCGACAACAAGAACCCCAACACAAACCTGCAAGATTTCAGTACGATGCCGTATCCGAGCGGCAACCACTTGACACAGTGGATGGAGGTGACCCAGTCCAGTTCAGGATGGAGGCCGCGGAAGAGAACGACCTTGGTTACCTCAGATCCCAAATAAACCACACCAAAAACCAGCAGTGGCTGGCACTGGACTGTGTAGTGTACCTACCTAGAAAGCTTAACTCACTGCTCTTCCAGAGATTTACGATCCTTCCTTTTGTCTACTAGTGTTACAGTATACTCGAGTAGTACTCTGGAGTAATGACTCTTCCTGCAGGTTATTATCCATTGAGAATGTCTTGCAGCTGTCTGGCTGGCTTGCTGATTAATGCCATCTCAATGGAGGTCAGTCACCCAAGACCCTTTAATCAAGAACGGTATTGGTCGATTTGCTAGCTGGCTTGCGGAAGTGGTGGGATCGATCGACGGCCGCAGCAGCAGAAGACCCACGCCTACAGCAGCGCGGCACGAGCACAAACGCCCAGCAGCAAACGACGACGAGGACAACAACAACATCATCAGGCATCCTAGCAGTAGTACTAGCTAGAGTCATTAGAACCTTGCGGCTCTTTTGGCCAATTGTTGTTTGAGCACTCTGTTGGTTGCTCTGACAGCCATTAGTTAGGAGCGGTAGCGGCAGGAACTAGCAGAAGACTCGAGAGAGGTCCTGTCCGGAAGACGAACGCAATCTACAAGGAAGCAAGTTGATCCGCGGGTATATACCCTTGTCTAGCAAGCCAGCCAGCCAGTCAGCATCAGATCAGTCTACCTGTCAAGCTAGAAGTGTTATCTCTGTGGTTGTGACGTCTAGAGAAGTGCGGAAGAAAGGCCCCAGCGTATACCCCTATTATACCCTCGTTGCCAGTTCAGACAGTCATTCTCTTATCCTTTGAAGGATAGCTTTCCAGGACCATTATCTCCATCCGACTGCAATCTTAAGCTTAAGGAACAGCTTAAGGGTATCTGAAGAGGTGCTACCCAACCAACCCGCGAAGAAGAAGCCAACAAGAGAGATAACCCTCGTATCTCCTGAATTCTGCATCTTTTGGATCGCAGAAACACACAAGACAAACAAGTCCACAAGAACAGAACGTACGTTCATCCTTCGGTTCTAGTCAGTGATAGCAATATCGCTGGCTACCTAACCCTGGCATCATTCCTCCGATTCCTTCCACAAGCTCCAAGCGCCGCTCCCACCAACGAGGCGAGCTTCAAACTAGAGACACGAACAATAGCAATTCCACCAACACGACTACCTCCTCCAGCGGCAATAACATTAACGCGCCTCCGGCATCCCTACCCGCAATCGCAAGGACTAGTTCTAACACACTCATCACACACAGCACGGCAAACATTACTATGAGCGAAAGCGATGACATGCAGTTCGATGACTCACCGTTCGGGGAGGGAGGGTTCGAGGTCTTCAAGAATGTCGGAGATTACAAACAGATGCGCACCGTACGAGTCACGGCGTCGGCGGCGGCGAATGAACAGGCTCCCAGTAGAGATCGGGACGTACCACACTTTAAGCGGGCCAACAGCACTAACAGCAACCACCGAAACGATGCCCATCGTGGTCCCGTCGTGGAACTTCAGACGGAACGAAGAGGAAGCTTTGATGCCGGACGCATGGAGAAAAACCCACAACGACATCAGCATGCACAACAACCAGATCGACCCGAAAAACTGAGTCGAAAAGAACGAAAGAAACAAAAGAAGGAAGAAAAGAAGGAAAAGAAAAAGGTCAAACTCGCGGCGCTCTCCACACGAACCAAGAAGATCGTGGCAGAATCCAATTTTAACGACGACGAAGCGCGGGCGGCTCACACACCGAATCAGTTCAACTTTTTGCTGGCGACCATGGTCACGGGTATCTCGTACTACTATATTGTATCACTGCTGGTCATTTTGACCTGGAGTTGCGTCTGTACGTGGTACATGGAAGAACTAAGAGTCAAATCGGCACAATCGGATAACCCGGACAATCCGATAAATCGGTGGATCGACTGGTTCGACGAAACAGATGTCCGGATGATCGGGTCACTCTTTGTCTTTTCTTTGGTCTTTCGATTCAATCAGTGTTACAATCGATGGTGGCAAGGACGAATGCTCTGGGGAGAAATCATCCAGAACTGTCTAGACTTTTCCAGAAAAGCCACGCTGTGGGTACGCGAGAAGAGCTTTAGTGACAGACTCAATCGATATATCGTCTGCTTCCCCTATGCCGCCAAGGCACAGCTCCGAGGGCTGTCACTCACAGACGACACAGAGTCGGGAAAGCTCTTGGTGGAACGAGGGTTCTTGGCACAAGAAGAATTGGACTTTCTGCGGGACAACCCCTGTTGGGAACCAGAGTTCTTTCTCGATCTGATGCGCGCCACTGTCGCTTCAATTATTCTCGCGCAGTGGGACCGGGCAGAGTACGAACAAGTCCTCATTCTGCCACACTCGAATCGTATTCACGATCGTCTCTTCCCACCGTTGGACAAGGCCATCTACGATCTGGGTAACAGTATCGGAGAGGGTGTCAGTGTACGAAGTGCCGGTCTGCCGAGGTCGTACGACACGGTGCATTACATTTTCTTTTGGATTTACTTCTTGCTGGCTCCAATGGCGGAAGCAGCAACGATTGGGTGGCTAGCACCCATCCTCCTGGGCTTTTCAGCCTGCATCATCATGACTCTGATGGACATGGGAACTGCCATGGTGGATCCTTTTGGAACTGACTTGGTCGATCTGCCCATTGAACGCTTCTGCGAAACAATCGAAGCACAGGTAGTGACCATCCAAAGAAGGCACAAGGACGACTCGATTATCGAGTTCGCCACGACCTCTACAGCTCAGAACAACTTTGCTGATAGAAGAGTCGGTCGCTTGGACGCAGCTGTCAATCTGACGCACTGAAACACCGACTGGGTCAATGAGAGGCAGGCCCACCAAAAAGGGACTACCCGAATGGATCAATGGGTACACGATAAGACGGAAGTCGTGGGAAAAGGCATTCGTCGTGCAAAAACGTATCTCGATGAAAGCGTTCGAACCACCGAATCGCTTTTCAGCGACAGCCACAGAAGTCATGACGGCGTCGATCGCAGCAGGTCTCAAAACGATCGTAGCCGGAGCCGACACCAACGGCGGTCGTTAGGGGGCTTAGATGAGAGCGGCAACAGCCTGAGTCGTTACCGCCAACGACGGGCGTTGACGGCCTTAGATGAGAGCGGCAACAGTCTGAGCCTTCACTCCCTTTGATCCAGTTGCTTGTTGGATTGGCTACGTGCCAACGTCATGCACACATACAGTTGTGCCAACACGAACGTGTCCCAGATATTGCGTTGGCGGCAGCAGAGAAAGCAAAGGACCCCGTACGGAATGAAGAACGCAGCTACGAACATGATTCTAACAATCGTGTAGACAATTTTTGCGTTCTGATGAAAAGCAATATGCTCGTATGGGAAGTCCGACTGCTGTTCTATCAAGAGACACACGTTCTACAAGAATAAATCAGATCGGGAGGCAGGATGGAGATTTTTGCCCATTCGCGGCGAGAGGACCTTCTGCTAACGAGTAAGAGATTGACCGAATGCTTGCAATTCCGGCGAGGCATTGCAATGGTGGGTATCGATGATGTGGGGAGCAGAGTGATGTACATTGTAGAATAGGACGAAGCAAGTGGAAACAACCTTGGCGCATTTTCCCAGGGAGCCAATGCGACAATTTAGGTCGCACAGAGAGTACGATACCACCACAATAACTTGAAAGTCTTAAACGATACATAGTGTTGTTGAAACGATGCAGCTTCGTACCGCATGGTGCTGCTTTGTGGCTGATGTTTTTCGTGGTGGTCGAGCTTCGCACCATAAAATCCAGCCTCACCCGAAGAGAAACAGAGCGGCAGCCGCGGTCTCCGTGGCTACCAGCTGGCTAGCCAACGGCCAGCTATTGGTGGTTGGGTGCGAACATAAACTTTTTAAAAAGCAATGGTGACCCTGGAGGTACGGTACCAGTACCTATACCTCCGACAGCGCTGGGACATCCGAGACAATCGCAAGTTTTCGGGACACCGAAATGCAAGAAGATACGAGGTTTCTCGACTAAAGCCCGAAACTTCCTTGTAGCAAAGAGCAGTTTGTCGTTTGCTCGGCTGACAAAACCAGGACGACGGCATAAATGTAAAGATCGATCATTGGCACTCAGCCACTGGCTGCTGGACATTGAGCATGTTGATGTGTTTTCCACCACTACCCGTAACTAGCGCACGCCGCTATCCGATGTTTGACTGCCGCTGCACGCATTGAAATAATCCCAATTCTAGTATGCTCGGCAAAGGCACTTGAGCCGAAGGGTTGTGGCTCAAGGCTATCATAATAGGGAATGACGACCAGTGCTAGCTACCAGTATTTGAAAGAAGTGGTACGGTACCGGTACCGGTGCGTTGCTACTACGGTACCCAATAGGCTAGCTAGGTAAATGATCTCTATTCCTGATGCAGTTGCGATTCTGGCAATTTCACTGCGGTAGAACACAAACAACGAACGGCACGTGCAAAACGTCGACTACAAGATATCCGGTTGCTTGGCATTTCGAGAGAGGATTGAACGAGAGGGAGGATAGGCACTAACTAAGAAGTGATGAGGAGGACTTGAATAAGAATCTCCCTCCAGATTCAGGAGATTTGAACTACATGTGATAGAGCTCACGAGTGAGGACTTCTCCATTTGAATTTACTGTGCTGCTAGTCCACCAACTGCCGTAGCTAGCAATGCTGTCCTCCCCATGGGATGAGTTGGTTTTCATGTATCGTACCGGTACCGTATGAGAGACTCGGCAAGAGCCACAATGACAGCACCAACGCCGCAGTCCCCCGTTCAAGAAGGCGGCTAAAGCACGGCACTATTGAATCCCACCCATGGGGTCTCAGCCCTAGTATCCATGATACTTAGACCCTAAAAGGGAATGCTAACGTCCATCTACGGCTCATCTGTTCCATGTTTCTAAACACGATCGGGCATCCCGGCGCCAAAGGTTCGAACGCAGTGAAAACTATGTAGCCAAATTCATGCTTCATGTGACTCGCTTTAAGTATGCTTATGTTGTATCCTCATGCCAATAAAAGAAGATTCAGTTGTCACTTAGCACAATAAGATCCTCAACTGACATTTCAGACTACTTGAATCCGCACAGTAGTCATTTTGATATCCTTCCGCTTTGGAGGGAAAACGCACTTTCTCGATACTGTAGCACCCTCTGATTTGAACACAACTTGTCCACCAATAAAGCTTTCGAGGGAAAGAAGAGTGTGTAAGTTCGACTGGCTGGCCAGTTGTGGGAAGATCATAGAGTGTATTGGCAGCAGGATTGATTGGGAGTGCATACCAGAACACACCGCCGTCACGCACTCGCTCACTTACACCCTTGTTATCCGCCGAATTTTGTTTTTAAAGGTGCGATAGTTTGCCACAAGTGTGAGAGCAAGACATTCAGTTCGATTAGTTAGTTTAGTGAAGAATCATCATGTCGAAGCAAGTGTTACTTCTATGTCTGTTCCTGTTGGCGAACAGCCTGTTGGTGGTGGCGGAATCGGACGAGGATACCCCTCGCCGTCGTCGTCGGACCGTCTTTCGAGTCCAAGATACTGGTGCTACCCAAGCCATGTACACGAGTCCACAAGTCCGTGGACGACGACGAGTGGTCAGTGGAGAGTTTGGAGAAGCACAAGAAGCAGGAGTCCAAGATGAAGAAGCGGATCGAGAAGCCGAACTGATCAACTTTAGCGACGAAGAATGGGGTCGATTTCTAGCGGACGAAATGAGTCTTTCCTATCCCGCTTATGGTACCGGTACTGCTACTGGTGGTGCTGCCCCAGGCATGATGCGAGTCATGACTATGAACATGCGAATGATGGGAGACGGTGGTGCCATGATGAAGCCAGCCAAGAAGGGCAGTTCCAAGAGTGCTGGTGCCAAGACTATGAAGATGATCAATTCGGGCAAGGGAATGGTCGGACGTCCCAAGGCGATGGGAGGAGATATGGAGATGATCATGATGCCGATGGGCATGGATTCCTATGACGAATACAATGATGGAGCCATGATGGGTGGTGGAGGAATGGGCTCCAAGCCAGCCATGAAGCCAGCCATGGGAAGCATGAGTGATTATTACGAAGCGGATGATGATGACGAGTATTATGGCGGCGCAATGATGAGTGGAGGAATGGGAGCCATGGGCGGAATGAGCAATTATTACGCTTCGGAAGATTATGAAGTCAATAGCGGCGGTATGATGAAGAAGGGAGATATGAAGAAATCAGACATGTCGATGGCCATGAGCATGGGCGGAATGAGTGATTACCATTACTACTATGAAGATGATGATTACTCTGGTGACGGACCTGCCATGGGAATGATGGACAAGGTCATGATGGGTGGTTCGGGTGGTTCTTCCAAGCCGATGATGGGCGGTTCTCCCAAACCGATGGGTGGTGGTTCTTCCAGGCCAACGATGGGAGGTGCCATGGGAGGTGGTTCTTCCGGGCCAACGATGGGAGGAGGTGCCATGGGAGGCGGAGGCATTAGTGATTCCTATGAGGAAGATTCCTACGAAGATCGTCCAGGGAAGGGTGGAGCCATGGGCACTATGGATCGTCCAGGTACAGGCCTGATGACTGGAGGCGGCGGCAGCCCGGATGGTCCTTTCTACGGAATGGCAATGGGCATGGTCGACGATAGCTATGCATATTCCATGATGATGGGTGGAGGCGGCAGCGCGTCCGCCAAGAGTAAAGGTGGTGCCAAGGGCAAGGGTATGCGAAAAAGCTCAATGTCCAAATTCGATCGGTCCTTTTGGAGACCATAACTATCCGATGACATGATTGCTGACGTCGCTCACCGAAGAGAGCCCTGGCATTTGCAACTTGTTCGAAGCGTGGAGAGTTTGGCGTATAGCCAGCTAGCTTGCAAGTTGCTTTTTTGCATATCCCCCCGCCAGAGACATTGAAACCATATGTTGGCGTTGTTTTATTTTAATAGTATATAAGAGAAAACAAGTCTAAAACACTATCTGTATCATGTCTTGAGAGAACACATCCTCTACACCTTCATCCCGTCCAAGCGACTGTGGCAGTCGCTCTACAGCCCGCTCAAAAGAACCAAAGTAGTGGTGCCAGCGTCAACCCAAGTACTAATACCTCACACAAGCACTCAGCCTTGATGGCCCCTGACACTTCTGTGCTGGCATACGAAAAAGGCCAAGTGGAACCTATCACATCTTTGCCGTCCACTAGGGTCACTAGTTGTTCTGTGGAAGGTGAACTGGTACGTGGAGGAATCGTGGTGGGCGGCTGCTCCACTTGTTGCCCTCGGTAGTCATCTTCTTGCTCTGTGGAATTAGCAATGACACTTTCTGGTGGTGGTTCTCTGTAAATGACCGAAGTTTGGTGCATGGGTTGCGGCGGGTATTCGTCTTGCAATTGTTCGGGCTCTAGCAATAATGGAGCAGCCAAGATTACAGTAGAGCTGGTTGTTGTCGTTGTTAAGGTGGCAGTCGTCCCATTGCCCAGAATCACCACATCCTGCTGCCCGGTAGTAGAGTTGGTTGTTGTAATGGTGGTAGTCGTTGTCGTCCGATTGCCCAGAATAACCACATCCTCCACAACAGGGTATGTATAGTCAGACACGGTCTGATTGGGGATCAAGCCGTTTGCAAAGTCCACGGCCGCTTGCACATCGCAGGATCAAACGTTCCATGGCGGGATCGTGCCACCACCCATGCACCCGTCCGAGGCACTCCCCACGCCGTCACTTCCGTGGCCGTGGCAACCTGCGGATCCAATGGTTGTGGTATCGTGGGGAACCATCCGTGACATCCCACTGTGGCCGGGACCGTGGCGGTAGACGTTCTGGTATCGTCGTGGGTACTAATCTTCAACGCCACGGGTGTCCCATCGGATTTGCGGCATTGTGGACTGGCGGTGGCACGATGGATTGGACTGACGGATGAATCTTGTTCCAGTGTTGTAAAGGCAAAGAATGCATCGTTCATTGCTGTCCGTGAAGAAGAAACACGTGTGTAGAGACTGGTCAAGTAGGGATAGTCCTGGAGCGTAGCTTGGGCATACTTGGATGGGATAAAGACGTGTTCTTCCAATTGAATGGCCAATTCAATGGGATCCCATCTCCAATCCGGAGTGGGATGGTAGTTGACCAAGCAGGGAGCGACAGGAATAATGGTACTACTGCTACTGTTACCCTGATCTTGATAGACAGTGGTGAGTTGTTGACAGAACGGTGGAGCCGTCTCGGAAAAGATGGGTGGAAGGAACTGGTGGATGATGGATAGGACATGAGGAGTACTGGGCACGTTGGCATGCGCGAGCATTTGTAGAAATTCGAGAGGATTTTCAGCCTCGTAGAGGTCAATGGCCGTCAAGGGAATCGCCACGTCAAGAATGGACGAGTTTCCAGCATATTCGGTAATCATCATTTGTGTCTGATTGTCTGTTCCTGTTGCTCCCGTTGCTTGTGAGAACCGTTGACGATAATTGTCCTCGTGACAACTGGGATTGTGGTAGCAACCCACCCAATCGTGTAGGGCATCGTCCAGAGTTACATCAAGGTAGTTGACAGGTGTGACTCTCGCATTTGCCAGAAAGTACACTTGAATGTCATAATTGTTGTCGTTTGTGCCAGCCAGACTGGCCCATTGCATCGGCAACCGAGCGGCGAATTGATCTGATTGTTCTTGTGGTGTTTTTTCAAATGTCACCACTATAGGCTGAATTTCTCCTCGAGTAGTGCTGGCTGGTTGGAATCGGAGTGCCACAAATTGGTGTCCTTGTTGGGCATAGTAGTGAATGAAGGAATGTGTTTTGGGAGGTGTCCTGTAGTTGTTTTGTGCCAGCCACTCCAAGATGTTGGTGTTCTTGCCACTGGAAGAAGCAGCGGTGGAACTGGAATTGGTATTGCTGTTGGGAGCTTGCAAAATGGCAAATTCAGATAGAATCGAGAATTCCTCTGCTTGTTCTTCTCCACTTGTGTGACTGTATGTGTCGTCTTTTGCAGATGATGATGGAGTGTTTCCCGACATGGCATCTTTTGGAAAGGGACAAGCATAGGGCTGTTGAGCCTCTTGTTGTTCCAATGACGACGACGACCCACACGACTTGCTGTTCATTTCCATTTCCAACTCGAATCGTGGCCGCGTCGCTTGGGCGAGACTGTGAAACAAGACATCTGTTCCAAGCGACACACGCGTGTTGTCACTGGCAGGAATGGGAAGAATCCACGCAAACTCGTCGTCTTTGGCGGATGCTCCTTCGTAGAAGAGTTGAATGTGCATGTGGACGCTGGTAGTATGGTCCATGGCAAAGACTACAGCGGCTTGACGAATCACCATCTCATCATCGTCCTTGGATGTTCGACTAAAAATTACACCACATCCAGTCGCCACTTGGATTGTAGACACAAGACACAGCAACAGTAGCAACACAAGACTGTTCTTCTTCCGTCGACGTCTACTACTACTACTACATGTACTACTAGAGATCTTCATTGTCTACAGTTTCTTCATGGTCTTTGAAAAACCGGATCGAATTGTGATCAAACGAAAGATCAGAGCATCATGACACACGGGGCAAACGGTGGTTGAATCATGCATTAAATTTTTCGAATCTCGGTTTCAACTGTCTGGAGATGCAAATGCTCACAATTCCCTTCCATTTTCAGGTTGGCTCCCTTGGCCCACGCTGTACCAGGTACCACCCAAGGACTGCACTGCATGTATGCATACCGGTAGATCTAGCTATGCATATCATAAATGGTACCGTAGTACTCATTGGCCAATACCTACAAAAACCTGGGCCAAACACCAGGCATCACTCGACTGACCCTGCTATGGACGTCTCAGACGTTACGACCGGCATGAATGCCCTCACTGAAGCAGCCTGTCCGTACAAGGCTCTTGAAAAGCAGAAGCGTTTCATCCGCCGCAAGATGCGCAAACCTGCTGACATGACTACCCGTTCCTATGTCAACAGTCTTCTTTGAATGAATGAATGAATGACGAAGAAATCACTCGTCTACCACCTTTTCAATGGGGTTACCCAGAAACTAAGTAACGACGAGATCATTGACATCGTCTGCTACGGCATTCCAAAATCTTGGACGAACATGCTTTCGATGCCTTTGCTGCTCAGCTTGGAGAGCTCACTGCCTTCTGTGAACGCATGGAATCCTCCGAAGACTTTGATAAGGGATCCGACGTCAAGCCTCCTACTTTGAAGAAAGGCAGCAAGAAGCACAAATCTAGCCGTAACAACCCTTCCAAGGGTGATGGCAAGTGGTGTGACTACCATAAGACCAGCACTCATGATACCGCTGACTGCGAGACCTTCAAGAAACTCAAGGCAAGTCGTTCTTCTGGCTCAGATAGCAAGCCAGCCTACAACAAGAACAAGACTTGGAAGCGTAAGTCTGATGATGCCAAGACTTACACCAAGAAGGAAAAATCTGCTATCATGAAGAAGGCTTCCAAGGCTGCAGTCAAGGCTGCCAGCAAGAAAAAGCCTGAATGCAACGCCGTTGCCAAGAAGACGAAGCTCAAGTCGGAAGACTCTGACACTGATTCCGCTTGCTCTATTCAATATGATGGGCAAGAAGATGGCTGAAGTCGACAAGCAGCTTGCCAACTTTGCTTGACTTTGACAAGTCCGATGGAGACATCTCTGTCTGAAGATTATCTAGGCCAGGACGATGATTCAAATACGCCTTAGTGAAGACAATCGCTCACTAACTAACTAGTAAACGAGAACTGTTTGCAACAGACGAAGAGTACGATCATCTAGATCATTGCTTGTTAGCCTCGTCCATGGCCAACCACCTTGTAAACGTCAAAAGACAAAAGATCTCAAGCCCACAGCTCTCCGGCTCTCGAAGCGCTGGGATGATTGAGGTGCTCTTGATCTCTTCCGCTCGTTTTCCTCCTTTGCTCCTCCCTGCCCTCCTGCCCTCATACCTTCCAACCCTCTCCTTGGTTTTGATGTTGCCCTGCTTGCGCACTTGATTGCCTGCTTTGCGTTCCTGCATCCTGCCCTCCCTTCTCTGCACCCCATCCTCATCATAGTTGCCTCTAACCCATAGTAACTTTCCCGCTCCATAGTGTATGTTACATTTAACTCACGATTGGGAAAGGCAAAGCCTGTCACACTCCGTTGCTTACTTGATACAGGAGCATCCGGAAGTCTAATAGCCCAAACTCAGCCATGCTAAGAAATTACGCATGAAGAAACTTGGGGGCATTCAAACCATGTGGACTACCCCTGCAGGAGAACTAAGTACCAGCACAAGTGCCAAGGTACATTTATGATTCCTGAATTCCACAATGACCGTGTCATTGAATGGGGTTTACATGTACGTCACCAAAACCTTGGGGGCGTATGACATGATCATCCAAAGAGATGTTCTCTCCCTCCGACCTAGCTAGGATTTAAGTTCAATTTCACTACCATGTCAGTGGAATGGGACGGTATCTCTACTCCTATGAAGGACAGTGATACAGACGAAGAAGAGAACTTCTTCATCCCCGATCTAGGGCCTTTCGGTTTGGGAGTGGGTGGACGGTAATGGAGTTAGTGTCAAAGCCGTACAGTAAGAAAATATATTGGTTTCCACGATGAGACGAAACAAACAGGCAGTCTACCGGTTTGATCCCTATAGATCTTGCCCTCGACAGTGTTCCATTGTGCTGCTACGCAGGTGTGCGTAGCTTGTTCGAGTGGGATTTCGTCATGGTCGAGGTTGGTGGAAGTTGCAGTTGCTGCAGCAGAGGTTGGTTCATTTGTTGGGTTTTCGATTTCCAGGAATGGAGATTGTGTGATGGTTGGCTGGATGGAGTGTTCGTTCTCTCGTGTTGGTGAGGTCTTCATTGGCTGGTGGTTGCGACTGTGCTAGGTGTCCAATGCTTGAATGATGCGGAAGTCAGGCCTGGGAACCCGTGCATGAATCCTTTGTCAAGAGCGTTCTGGAGTGTCTGGAAGTTCTCCCAGTTTTGGTCAGCTTCGTCATTGCTGCGCCACTCTTTGAGACAGAGGGTGAAGATGCCGCTGTTCTCAAGGTTTTTGAGAGCTGAACGGACGGTGGCTCTTTCGGTGATGGCATCATGGTCGTGGGTGAAGGAGCGGGCATCGTTGATCTGGTGGAGGAGCTAGCTGTTCGATTGGTTGGTTGGGTGGGTGGGGGTCCATTTTGCGTTCATGCTGTCAATGTTTTTTCGAGGTCATCATTGGTCAAGGTCCCGTATTGTTCGTTGAGGTGGACGATGAGATGGATGTTGCTGAGGGTGGAGTATCCTTCATCTAGATCTTGGTGGGATTTGTCGTAGATCTCCTCGATGCGGCTTCCATGGTTTTCCGAGGAGTGCCTTTTCTGTGGATTGGAAGAGCTGGAATTCAGTCAAGTCATACGCCGGTGGCTCCATCAGGGACGTCGGGTGGAGTGCCGGGGTGAACTGGATCAACCCAGTGGTTGGCTGCAACTTGGGGTCAGGCATTGCATCTGGCTAGTGTGTAGCAGAGGTGGAGGTGTCCTTTGCCACCATTGCCGCGTAGGCTGTGGATTGGGCAGGCGTTGTCTTGGTTTTCTGTTTCAAGGAGTTTGATGCCTGCCCTGGTGGGGCGGCCGGTGATGCTGGTGAGGGTTCTGCTGGGTGGGGTTGTACTTGGTCGTTGCCATGATGTTGCTGTTGTTGGTGGTGTGTTGAAGATTCGATGTAGATCGGAGCTGAATCAACGGGTTCGGTCGATGATCGGATTTTGAGAATTGCTTTCTTCTTATTGAAGTCAATACGGTAGCTCTCATCATTCGCCTCCCACCAACTGTCAAAGTTTTGTCAGCCTAACGTGGAAGGAAACAATGCATTCAATGACAAAACCCGGGAGATCCACCACTGCTCTCCACCAAATTTAATGCTCTCGCACTTGCTCATCACAGAAAGTTTGAAAGCAAATCGATCCAGACAAACACACCTTGACACTATTGCTGTATTAGTATGATGATCATAAAAGCTACCTTGCTACTCCTTGCTGCTGCCTGTTGGCAATAACTCAGTTATTGCTGCCCGTTTGGGTGAGCCTCGCCGCAAACTCCAAAGCTGCCCCGATGGTTATGAATGGGACGGCACACAATGCCGCCAACGCGCTAACTGCCCCCCCCAGGGTCAATTGCTTCCAGCCCATTTGACTGCGCACCGTGCACAGAGGGATCAGCTGGAGTGGGTTGCGCCCGATGTGATCCTGGGTTTATCACCTTTGGTACTGGAAACGTTGCATGTACCCAGTGCGGGTTGCATGACCCTGCTGTCCGAGACAACGAATGCGACCACTGTCTTCCAGGACAAGGAGCCCCTGAAGGTCCAAACCAGAACGGCGACGGTGGAAGCTTCTTTGTATGTGCCGCCTGTGCTTCTGGGACTTTTGACAATGGCCAGTTTTGTGAGCCATGTGACTGTTTCTCCTCGAGGGTCCATTGGGGCCTCCTCCTGTGCAGCTCCGACTCAGCCCCCACCGACCGTACCTCCGCCGCAACCGACTGACACGGCCACAACAGTACCTCAGACGCCCCTACCAACTCTCCCCATCGTAACCGTGACTCCGCCAACAGACTCGAACATGTACCAGGATGGAGGTATGGCAATGGATCCCCATGTTCACGTAATCAGACTCTTAGGTGCTCCCGACACTGTGTGATAGTTGAGTGTAGTGACATGCTCATATTTCTCTTTTCTTTTTTGACAAACACATGAAAGAAAATATCCATGTCCGAACTACCATTCGCTACGCGTACAGCTTCATTTCATCTGCTGCTGTCCGCATTGGGGAAGATATCATGGAAGTTTCTGGTTGGGGACTGTATGCCATTAATGGAATTTCAGGTGCCATGAGGTGGATATCCCGTTCACTACGCCATGATCAGCAAGAAGAAACACTCCTTATTAGTTGTCGAAGTGAATGGTCACAGCCTCACAAACCCACCATCGTGAAACTTCTCTTTTGTCTCTTGCCGGTTTGGAAGCGTGTCCTAGCTAGCTATCATAGCAATAGGCTGGATACAAAGGCGATGGTGGTATCGGTGAATCGAATCGAATCGCATGGCATACAGTAGGCCACGGAGTCGAGTCATTCTTCATGGTTGGTGCCATGCGCCATGAGACTGCCACATAAGGTACGAAGTTACCAGTCCTCGCTAGCTAGGTACATCGTAGAGCCAAAACGAGACCGACCGTACGATGCGAGTCCGGTGGCAGTTTTCGTTGACTCTCGACAAAGGCACATAGACTAGTCACACACCGTAGGGTAAGGAAACGTAGAGTGTTTCACGCGGCAATTGATTTGATTTGACTGTCCATGGCAACAGTCCAGGGCAACAACAAGCATGGGCCACTGTGCCTGCCTGCAACGGATTTCATTCCGGAAAGTAAACTTTTCGAAAACATTGTTGTGCGCCCAAAGCTCTGGCTCACTTCAACCACAGCAAACATGACCAACACGGAAAACCTCCGGAAAACGTCAGGAACGCCAATGGCAGGGACAAAATGGCCCAAGAACAGTGAAGTTGCCCTACATACGGTACTACAGTACACACAAGAGCAGAGATCAGAAAGTACCAAGGGAGCTCATCTGCGAGGATTCGATTCTCATGATGCTCTTCTGTATGGGTGGGTTGGATGTTGGATGTTGGATGGATAGCCTTGTGGGAACCAAGAAGCATATCGAGCGGTGAGACATGGTCAAACTATCTATTAATAGTAGCTGTCAAACTTGGGCCTTTCGGTGAAAGCAGTTGTGTACCCTTTCTCGACTCGACTCGTCTTTGCTACGCATCTTTGCTTTGAAGCCTGGCCCTCCCTGACTCGTTTTCCAGAGTTCTGAAGAGAAAACCGCGAGCTTAAAAGGTCACTGTAAGAGCTTGGTCTTGGAACAGGTCATACGGTCATACGGTCATACGATTTTAGCGAAAAGCTTGGTCTTGGCACAGGTCATACGATTGATTCGATTCTAGCGAAAAAGCTTGGTCTTGGAACAGGTATGAATCTAGCTAGTACACACGGTACAGGTACTCGGGTCAGAAGGGAAGCACCTGTCGCGCTGACGAATTGCCAATACTGGTAGATGTATTTTATTATGGTCAGCACTGGCCACCACACACCACACATCATCTGAATATCTGAATAGAGGTGCGGCCCAAGATCGATAAGACCGAGCGTCAGGTTACGGTACTGTAGCCAGTACGGTATTATTGGAACCTTAAAACCAGAGTCAAAAAGTCAGAAAAGAAATATTCATTCATGCTCCATTTATTTAGAACTGGCATTGTGCCTTTTTGAAGGAAGGAACGAAAAGGCAAGACGACCTTACAAAGGGCATCAGTTATAATCAGATCCCAGATGCAGACTTTTGTTTTATTTAAAGAGCCCTTGACGCTGGTCGCCGGTATTGGAAATCAATTCATGCTCCTCTTAATTCTCAATGGCCATTACTTCAGCTACTAAATTAATACACTACAGTTCGAGTATTATCCGCTCCTTTTCACTATTAATACTACTATTAGTAGTAGTAGCTGGCTTTGCATCAAGAAGATTCCTTCGCCTGAGAAAGATAGAAAGTAGTTCTTATGGAATATGGAACTGTGCGTAGAATGGAATCTTTCCTCAGATTTCTTGAAAACAATTTCACAGAGTAGTGCGTCATGGCCTTCATCGTCCAGTTGCTTTCTGACACTTCCTGGTAAGATTCGTAGGGTTCGCAAGAGTGACATTGATCTTGGACATTTCGTAATCTGTCTACTAGGAAAACCAAGCAAAGAAATCTGAAGGTGAGAAGAACAGCCGCCACGCACTACAGTAGCTCCGGTGGTAGCTTGCTTTTACCCAGCTCCGATGAAAAACGGAAAATTGAAATGGCAAAGATGAACGTCCACAATCATCAAGAACCTAGAACCTAAGTTCGAGTTGTCTCCGTCGCAACCAAGCAAAGCAAAGCAAAGCAAAGCAAAGAAAAAACAACCACAAACAACAAACAACAAACAGCAAGATGAACTTTCTTTGGTCCTCTCCAGAAGAAGATGAGATTGCGATTCCTGGCCCCGACTCGAGTCCTCCGCTTCCTGCTGACCAGATGGTCAGGGATCCTTTTCGATCGCAGATGCTTCTCTCCACAAGGACCTCTTTTGATGCTCCTGATGCTCCTATGGAAGACCCTTTGGCTGGTGGTGACAATCAAGCCAATCCAGACAGTGATGACGAGGATGATGATGATGACCCAATCGATGACCCAAAGAATAACAACGATGATGATGATGATGCTTGGAGTGAGTCTCCCAGCAACTTCTCCATTTCCAGTATGGATATCGAACGCGGTATGCGCAACAACGCTATACAGTATGTGGCTTTTGAGTACATGTACAGCAATGCATACGACTTGGTGTATGGCATCTGTACGTGGCCCAGGCTCCTTCTCAGCTACTGCCTAGGCATGTTCGGCTTCTTGCGAAAGAAGAACAACGACGCTGATGGACCGCTGCCACCAGAGGACAACAATCACGTGCAAGACATGGCTGTAGCAGCTTCCCAATCAGCCGCCATTGGAATAGGAGCTGGAGTCATGGCAAGTCAGTCGGCTGCTGCGGGAGCTGGGGCATCATCCATGACAGCTGCCGTCTCAGCTCTTTCCACGCCGACCAAGATTGGCATCATTGTGGCGACGGCCATCACAGTGGCTGCTACTACTGCGGGAATTGCCGCAGGAATCAGCAGTGGCAGCGATAACAGCGTTGGCCCCTGCGCTAGTAGCATTGCAGCCACTGATGTCAAGCAAGGTGTCGTGCAAATTGCCTTTTCGTCACCATACACAAAGGGTAATACTGACACACCTTCCACCAGTGAATTGCTTATAGAGAACAAAGAAGAACTGGAAGATACTTTTGCCCAAATCTACGACAATGTCACTGCGAATTCCACAGACCGTGCCCACATTGATCAATGCGATATTCCCCGTATTCCAACTGGTGGTGTCCAGCTGATGCAGGTTGAGTCGTCTGAAGAGGACAATTTTACCAATACCTTTTGGGTTGCCGATGTTCAGTGCAATGGATGCTCCGACACAGACCCACTTTTTGGAACCAACACACAAGGGAGTCCCCAACTTGATCCTGGGAGGGCTGTTGATGATTTTATCGACCAGTTTACTCGAGCAATACAACCCATTCTGACTACAAATGACCAAACACAAGAAACTGACCCAATGACCAGCCCACCACAGCCGGAACAAGAAGATGCGCCCATAGACATTTTGCTTGTGGCACTGGTGGATCCCTCGACAGGAGAGAGACTCCCAGAACAGCCTCAACAGTTGGGACCTGGTGATATGATTGAGCTGATTCCGAGGTTAGACACAGTTTGGAATGAAAACCCAAGTGAGTCAGAACAGGACAGACTAGTACCAGGTTCTCCTTCTTCAACTGTTGCATCTACTCCTACAGCCACTTCCAGCACAGGGCCGCCTACTGCTTCAGATGCCAATCTTCCTACCAAAACTACCAGCACAGAGTCAAGCCTTACCCCAACTGTAGCAGCAGCCACAACCACTGGAAGCACAGAATCAACTTCCAACAACGAGCTGCCCAATGTCCCATCAGCTGTAGGAAGTCCTAGTGGAGTGTCCAATCAGGGATCAACTGGATCAACTGGTCCAACAGGTGTTTCTGGCCCGGCCAGTTCTGTTGCCACCAACCCCATTGCTACCAAAAACCCAAGTGGCAATGCTGGCACTTTTGCTCCTGCAGCAACAAGCCCCTCATTCTCGATGGCCAATAAAGATCAAGTTACAACCAATGGCAACCAGCAGCAAGAACAAGGGCCAAGCTACGAACCAAACTCTATAGCACCACCTCCAGCAAGCATCAATCCCATGTTGCCATCCATTGTGAAACCAGCGTCAACACCAGCCAATGGCAATACAGCACCAAGTGTGGCTCAGCCAATGGCTCCTTCTAATGTGGACCAGACAAACACCCCACCTGCAGCTAGTGTGCCAGCAATCCCCAACCCCCCAGCCATTCTCCCAACGGCTGGTGCTGTTCCTCAGTCACTAAAACAGGCTCCATCGCCAGCAGGCATTGCCAGCGCGCCATCTAGTAGCAGAGACCCAGTCAGCCCGAGTGCTGACGTGTCAGCTCCGGGAGCACTTTCAAATTTGCCTCCACAAGTAACAGCCCATTCTCCAACAACTCTTGGAACACCCACAAAAGTTACATCCACATCGGTGCCAACAAGAGAGATGCTGTCACCAGAGACATGTGCTGGTATGCAAATGTTTGCAGGGCCCCGTGCTTCATCAGGAGTTTGCAACAACATCAATAAAGGTGCTGCCAATAGTGGAAGCAATCCATCTTCTTCCCCTGTATCCATATATCCTACCATATCCAGGGCAACCCTAACTCCATCCACAATGAAAGCATTGAATGATTTCACCAACACAGGTTCATCATCCGGCTCATCCATAAGGACATCTACCAACCCTAAAGTGCAACCTTTAACAAATCTCCCCACGCCAAACCCCACTTTTGAACCAACAGATAGCCCAACAGTGTCACCTACCAACCAGCCCACAGATGACCCAACTAGTAGCCCTGATATCGAATCAACCACTTCACCAACTGAAAACCCAACCCCCATTCCAACAATGGATCCTACAAGTCCATCCCAACAAATCACTAGTCAGCCAACTACTAGGCAAACACAGACACCAACAGAGACCCCGCCCTCAGTGCAGGAGGACTATTTCATTTCGTTCAGTGGTCCCGCCACTGGTTGGACAGACCAAGAGATGATGGATGCATTTGTCGAGGCCTACACCTCCCTGCCTGGTTCTGGTTCTACCATCGAGGCCATAGAGGCTGGTCAACCAGTCTCACCTGACGGTGGTTTCTACCTGGAATTCACGGTGACCTCCAGTCCCGAGGCCTTGGACGAAGACCTTACATCGTCCGAGGCTGAGTTCCTTGGGCAGTTCAATGAGGAGATCCAAGGAATTGATCCTGTTGCCTTGTCTTTGAGTATTGTGGCCGCCTCCTCAAGTCCAACTTTTCCTAGCAGCACGAGTACACCTACCAAAGCTCCAACAGAATCACAACCACCCACAAAAGCTCCCAAAACAACCCCAACCATAGGGCCAACAATTGCTCCTTTGCCCTCCAAGAGCCCAACTAGGACCCTGACAATGGTCCCCACCAAGAAACCAACTGAAGCTCCCACTATAGGCCCAAGCAGGACCCCCACCGCAGCCCCGACAAATGCACCAACTAAAAGTCCCACCAATGCACCAACAAGAACCATAACCAATGCACCTACGGCATCACCAACCGAAACACCAACAAAAGTGCCCTCCAAGAGCCCAACTGTGATCCCAACAGGGACCCCAACAATGCCCCCCACGAAGGTACTTACTGAAGCTCCCACTAAGGCCCCAAGTAGGCCCCCCACCACAGCCCCTACAATTACACCCACCAAAGTTCCCACAAATGCACCAACCAGACCCCCAACCAAGGCACCTACCAAGTCACCAACAACGCCATCCACGCCCCCAACTAGGACCCCAACAATGGCCCCCACCAAGGTACCCACTGAAGCTCCCACTAAAGCCCCGAGTAGGCCCCCTACCAGAGCACCTACAATTGCACCAACAACAACCCCAACCAAGGCACCTACCAAGTCACCAACGAAGGCTCCTTCGAAGGCTCCAGCACAACTACCCACGGACGCACCCACAAAGGCTCCCACAAAGGCTCCCACAACAATGCCAACACCTGTCCCCTCCGCTGCTCCAACTCCTGGTAAGTTGACAGATTGTCACATTGTGGAGTCATTTCTGATGTTTCAGCTAGCTAACGGTGGTTTTTAAACTGACAGTCTTTGGTGACAAAGATGCTTTGATTGCAGCCCTGGAACAGGGTGACTACTCTGCCTCAGGTCCTTATGGTAAACAACAATTGGCCCCACTGTGTTCAACTGCAGTAGCATGTCTAATTTCGTTTTGCTTCTGCTCCTGAATTCTAGGCTCCATTCAATCATGGAGTGTACAGGCAGTTGATAACTTTGGTAGGTGAACCACAAAAGTTGCTTTGAGTGCTATATTGGTTGTATTTGATGTTGCCTGTGAACTCACGAATTGAGAACCATTGTTGTCTTTGCTGCAGACTCTTTGATTAGTAATCTCACAAATGTGGCTACCTTCAATGGGGACGTGAGCAATTGGGATGTCAGTGGAGTAACTTCCATGAACTCTGTTTTTTTAAGTAAGTACAAACAGTTTGTTGACCCTTTTTATGCAATATGTGCGTGTTTCTTGAATGGGAAGTTAAGACAAATTCATTTCATGTACAACAGATGCAGCTGCATTCAATGTTCCACTGAACAACTGGGTTGTATCGAGCGTGACTGATATGACAAGTATGTTTTACAAATCAGCTTTCAACTCCGATGTTTCAAGTTGGTAAGCTCTTATTTCTGCAACAGGATTACTTGTATTGTTCTTTTTGCCTAAAAACTGGAACTTGCTGAACTTAAACAACTCAGGGATGTCAGCAGCGTCACAAGCTTCGATAGTCTTTTCAGGGGGTCTTCCTTCAATGCTCCACTGAACAACTGGGTCGTCTCCAGTGTCACTGATATGACAAAGACATTTTGGAATTCAGCTTTCAACTCGGATGTTTCACGTTGGTAAGCTTTGATTACTGAAATATGATAACTTTGATTGTTTCTTTGACTAAAAAAGTGGAACTTGCTAAACTAAAACAACTCAGGGATGTCAGCGGTGTCACAAGCTTCTATGGTATTTTCAGAGGGACTCCCTTTAATGGTGATCTCAGTTCGTGGGGTAAGTTGATTCTCACTGATACTTGCAGAACAATCAGAACTTGAATGCTCACATTAACATTAACATCAACATCACTTCTGTCCCAAGATACAAGTAGTGGTCAAGAATTTCGGTCTGCATTCAGTGCTGCTACATCCTTCAATGGTGACATCAGCACGTGGGGTAAGTCAAGTCTTGTGTCTGTCTCCAAAGCACCCATGGCAATGTTTGTGTCAGCCTCAACATTTTGTGTTTCAATGATAGATATGAGTAGCGCAACATCCATTAAGGCTATGCTCTATGTGGCCTCTGCCTTCAATGGCGACCTAAGTTCATGGGGTATGTATACATGTCATGGTTGGTGCTTGGTTCACAGAGTATCCAACCTGATAGCTTACCTTTGGTTTCCTCTCAATTATAGATACCAGTCGTGTTACAACCCTGGAAAATGTCTTCTATGGAGCAAGCTCCTTCAATGGAGACCTAAGTTCATGGGGTATGCAAACAGGTTTTGATTCGTGGCTCAGAATAATAATATTTCACTTCATGTTTGCTCACCTACTGATTGCTTCCACTTATAGATATCAGTAGTGTGGAAAACTTGCAAGGGACCTTCTATGAAGCAACCTCCTTCAATTGTAATCTGAACTCATGGGGTGAGTGAATTCATGGGACACCATTCTGTTCTTTTTAAAAAGTTTTCTCACAACAGCTGTAGACGTTAGTAGGGTCACTACAATGTATCAGACCTTCATGGGTGCTTCTATCTTTGACCAGGATTTGTGTGCTTGGGGCCCCAAAATAACTGGCACCTTTACTGTCACTCGATGTTTTGATGGTACTTCTTGTCCCATGCCTGCTGTCCCTGATCTGTCAGCATCACCCAAGGGCCCCTTCTGCCATGTTTGCCAGAGTCCCACAAATGCACCCACCAAGATGCCAACAAAGACTCCTTCCAAAGCACCCACCAAGATGCCAACAAATACTCCATCCAAAGACCCTACCACTGCACCTACCAAGGCTCCCACGACAATGCCAACACCTGTCCCCTCCGCTGCTCCAACTCCTGGTAAGCCATCAGATTGAGACGTTGTTTGTTCATTTCTAGTGTTTCAGCTCACATTTTTTTTTTGACTGCGTCAGTCTTTGGTGACAAAGATGCTTTGATTGCAGCCCTGGAACAGGGTGACTACTCTTCCTCAGGTCCTTATGGTAAACAAAAATTGGCCCCACTGTGTTCAACTGAAGCAAGTAGCATGTCTCATGTTGTTCCTTTGTTGTCCTGAATTCTAGGCTCCATTCAATTGTGGAATGTGCAAGCAGTGGATAACTTCGGTATGTGAACCTCAAGATTGCTTTGAGTGATATTGGCTGATACCTGCGTATTAATTTGGATGTTGCCTGCAAACTCACCAATTAAGAACCACTGTTGTCTTTCTGCAGACTCTTTGATTTGGAATCTCACAAATGTGGCTACCTTCAATGGAGACGTGAGCATGTGGGATGTCAGTGGAGTAAATTCCATGAATTCGGTCTTCAGAAGTAAGTCCAGTTTCAGGCTGCTTTTTCTTCACCTTCTTTGCATGATTTTGAAAACACTAATCACCCTTGAATGGGACAAAACTTTGTCTGTGTATACCAGATGCGGCTGCTTTTAACATGCCGCTGAACAACTGGGATGTGTCAAGTGTGACTGACATGAGATCCTTGTTTGAGAGTTCTGGGTTCAATTCTGATCTGCCCAGTTGGTAAGCCTTCACTACATTTTGTGATAATAGCTTTTTGATTCCGAATCTAACACTCACTTGGAATAAAGGGATACAAGCAGTGTAACATCATTGCAGGCGGCCTTCAAGCTCGCTGCAGCGTTCAATGGTGATATCAGTTCTTGGGGTAAGCCAATCTTGTTTAGTCTCCCTCCGTTGAAATGCTTCATTTTGATGTTCACAAACTCTTGTTTTACTATGCACTATCAGATACAAGCAGTGTTACCACCCTGTCAAACACATTCTCGGGTGCAACTTCTTTCAATGGCGATGTTTCAACCTGGTAAGTTAATGTTGCAGAAGAGAAATTGGCTCAGCTGATTCTTAGATTGATTCGCAACTCTCTGGATTACGCAGGCAGACCCAGTCTGTGAATACGCTGTATGGAGTATTTTATGGTGCAACAGCGTTTGATGGTGACTTGTCTGGCTGGTAAGTACAAATCATAGCACATCTTTATGACCCAAGTAAAAAATTTTCCTGGAGATCTAATTGACAGTCCCTTCACATTGCAGGCAAACTGGGTCTGTGACTGGAATGTTTCAATCTTTTATGGGTGCTACTTCGTTTTCTGGAGGTGGAATTGGAACCTGGGATGTGTCAAAGTGAGTACTATTTTTATATGGATGATAGTGTGCCGTGAATATTGCAGCACCTAAATGATGATTTGATTTGTTTGTTAAGGCTTTTAAAATTTGGCCAAGCATTTGATGGCGCAACCTCCTTTAATGCCAACCTTTCCAATTGGCAAGTGCGCATTTGCAAACAAGTGTTTCTCTTGTTTGATGTCTGGAATGCTAACATCCTTTTGAATCCAGGGATGTTTCAAAGGTTACGCATATGTATCGAGCATTCGCATATTCATCTTTCAATCAAGATATTTCAAGGTAAAGTCAAGACCAATGCCAAATTGATAAATATTCATCATTAGAATCCCTAACTGGAAGCAATATTCCAATGTTTGCTTCTTTGGAAGTTGGGACATCTCTTCAGCAGGGGCCATGTATTACATCTTGTACGGAGCACCATTCAATCACAGTCTCTGCAACTGGGGAAGCAAAATCATAGCAACTGCAAATGTTGGCGACATGTTTACCGGTACAAACTGTCCCACAAAAGACAGTCCTGACCTTGCTGCAAGTCCAAAAGGCCCCTTCTGTCATGTCTGTTCAGCACCCACCATATCTCCCACTATAATGCCAACCAAGACTCCAACCAAAGCCCCGACTAAAGCTCCTACCAAGGCTCCCACCAACTCTCCCACTAAAACCCCAACCGATGCACCTACCAAGGCTCCTACCAAAGCTCCTACCAAGGCTCCCACCAAATCTCCCACTAAAACCCCAACCGATGCACCTACCAAGGCTCCTACCATTGCACCAACAAAAGCTCCTTCGAACATGCCATCCAACATGCCATCATCCGTCCCCTCTGCTGCTCCAACTCCTGGTAAGCCATCAGATTGAGACGTTGTTGAGTCCTTTCTGGTGTTTCAGCTAACTCCTTTTTAAAACTGACTGCTCAGTCTTTGGTGACAAAGATGCTTTGATTGCAGCCCTGGAACAGGGTGACTACTCTTCCTCAGGTCCTTATGGTAAACAAAAATTGGCCCCACTGTGTTCAACTGAAGCAAGTAGCATGTCTCATGTTGTTCCTTTGTTGTCCTGAATTCTAGGCTCCATTCAATTGTGGAATGTGCAAGCAGTGGATAACTTCGGTATGTGAACCTCAAGATTGCTTTGAGTGATATTGGCTGATACCTGCGTATTAATTCGGATGTTGCCTCAGGTTCCACACTTGTGTTCCTCATTTTGTTTTGTTTTTTTGCCTGCAGACAATTTGATCGCGGCTCTTCCAAATGTGGCTACCTTCAATGGGGACGTGAGCAATTGGGATGTCAGTGGAGTAATGTCAATGATCTCAGTCTTTAACAGTAAGTACACAAGCAGCAATAATGGTTTAGCTTCATTTCGTTGTGCCCTCAAATTGGCTTTTAACATTGCTTCTTGATCTTTTATATGACATGTACAACAGATGCTGCAGCGTTCAATGTTCCGTTGAACGAATGGGTTGTCTCCAGTGTGACTGATATGAAAAATCTGTTTTCGAATTCAGCTTTCAACTCCGATGTTTCAACTTGGTAAGCTTTGATTACTGCAATATATGAGAAGTTGTATAGTTTTCTTTGCCTAAAAAGTGGAACTTGCTGAATCAAAACAACTCAGGGATGTCAGCAGTGTCACAAGCTTCTATGGTATTTTCAGAGGGACTCCCTTTAATGGTGATATCAGTTCATGGAGTATGTTGCTTCTCATTGATGCTTGTACAACAATCAGAACTTGAGCACTCACATTAACATTGACATCACTTCTGTCCCAAGATACAGGTAGTGGTCAAGAATTCCGGGCTGTATTCAGTGGTAATATTATCTTCAATGGTGACATCAGCATGTGGGGTACGTCAAGTCTTATGCCTGTCTTCAAAGCACCCATGGCAATGTTTATGTCAGCCTTAACCTTTTGTGTTTTCAATGATAGATATGAGTAGCGCAACATCCATTCGAGCCATGTTCTATGGGGCCTCTGCCTTCAATGGCGACCTAAGTTCATGGGGTATGTATACATGTCATGGTTGTTGCTTGGTTCACAGAGTATCCAACCTGATATAGCTTACCTCTGGTTTCATCTCAATTATAGATACCAGTCGTGTTACAACCATGCAAGCTATCTTCTATCAAGCAAGCGCCTTTGGTGGTGACCTCAGTTCATGGCGTATGTATACATGTCTCGATTGGTTCCTCAAAAAGAGTGTGTTTTGCTCACCTATTGATTGCTTCCACTATTAGCTATCAGTGGTGTGGACAGCTTGTATCAGGCCTTTATGGGAGCAACATCCTTCAATAGTGATCTGAACTCATGGGGTGAGTGAATTCATGGGACACCATTCCATTGTTTTAAGAATTTTACTGACAACACTTGTAGACGTTAGCAGCGTCACTAGATTGGAGTCGACCTTCAATGGAGCAACCTCCTTCAATGGTGATCTGAGCTCATGGGGTAAGTGAATTCAAGGGACAACCGGTTGCTGTTTTCTTTTTAAGAATTTCACTCACAACAGCTGTAGACGTTGGCCAAGTCACTACGTTGTATCAGACCTTCTATGGAGCAACCTCCTTCAATAGTGATCTGAACTCATGGGGTGAGTGAATCAATGGGCCAACGTTCCCTTTTGTAAAGCAGCATACTCACAACAACTGTAGGCGTTAGTAGGGTCACTACATTGGAGCAGACTTTCCGCGATGCAACTTCCTTCAGTTCTGATCTCTCCAACTGGTACGATGACTTCGGTCTTATTTGCTTCCACCATGAGAAAGCTCATCGGTAAAGCTTTGTTTTTTTGTTTGTTCACAGGGATGTTTCAGCTGTGGCAGAATTGCGGCTGGCCTTCCGTGGAGCAACCTCCTTCAATAGTGATCTGAACTCATGGGGTGAGTGAATTCATGGGTCATCATTCCTTTCTTTTTGAAGATGTTTACTCACAACAGCTGTAGATGTTAGTGGAGTCACTAGTTTGTATCGGACCTTCATGGGTGCAACTTCCTTCAATTCTGATATCTCGAACTGGTAGGGTGACTTTGGGAAGTCGTGTTTGCTTGCACCACGAAAGAGCTCATTGGTTTATCTTTGTTGTTGTTGACTTACTTCTTTCCAGGGTTGTGTCATCTTCGACTACCTTCACTGAATTTACCAGTGGTGCTTCTATCTTTAACCAGGATTTGTGTGCTTGGGGCCCCAGAATAAGTCACGCTTGGTCCACCTATCTATTTTTTGAGGGTACTTCTTGTCCCACAACCGCCTTTACTAATCTGACAGCATCACCGAAAGGCCCTCTCTGCCATGTTTGCCCCTAGCCAGGAAGCCACCACGCGAGAGTTTTGTTTCAAGTCAAATAGAGCCACTCCAGATGCTTGCACAAGCATTCTCTACATAATAACGACGTTTGTCATCCTTGCACATTTTAAAATTGGTGAAGCAACAATACACCAATTCCCGCACGGGATTTGAACACGTGACTAACCTCAGTCGTGCTTCATCTTAACCGTAGTCTACGAAGACAAGATTGGAATTCCCTTATTGAACCCTTCGAGATGCATCCCATCTTCTCAGCCAATCATTAATAACCGTGGAATGAACTAATTGCAATTTCGGAACATCCACAGTGTTTTGCAAAGGATACAACTTGCGCCTACGTAGAACTGATACAAGTCCTACGCCCAATTCCCGCGGGGGTCCTCTGTACGCAAACAAACCTTCCACACTAACTTCACGATCAAGACAGATCACACGACATCTCATGTAGCAACAGTAGACATTAGGATGAATAGGGTCCTCCGCAACCATATCCAAAGGTCTAGCCAACCCTCATTATTGATCAGTTTTTCTTCCTTTTCTAATCTCTCAACTCTAAAAAATTAGATAATCAAAACCAGTCATCAAACAACCTACAAGGATTCTGCCTTGCTTTTAACATACTGGTAGTGTAATTTGTTACAAACACATTTTCTACCCTTCATTCATCGACCATCGACCATGAAGATCACAATGCCCAAACAGCAAGCGGCACCTCAAGAGGTTGCATTGCTTCCTTTGGTTAGTGATACCACTCAGGAATCCATTGATCACAAGGACTCAACTCGTTGTGCAAGTTTCAAGTTGCGTGTCATCTCCGCTCAAGCTGACTCCACACTTGTTCACAAAAACTGGTAAACCAGTATCCATCCCGGTGCCTGTCCGTTGTCGGTCAAAATAGTGAGTTGGTCAAAAAATTGAAAACGTGTCAGCCTTTTAGAATAGGTAATAAGCTCTTCATTTCTGTAGTAAACGTCTACATTGCATACGTACTCCGAGTCGTAAAGTAATCACATGAACCGACAGATAGGAAGTAATCGTTGAGCTTTTAAACCTTATGAGCTTGACAGGCGTCATCGGCCGACTCTCCCACAGCTTTTGGCATGACTCGAAGTGAAACTATAAAGATTCGAACTGCAACCAAAGCAAAGCTATCACCATGACCGAGGCTGAAGAAGACCTTACGACAGCTGAAGAACACCTTACGATGGCTGTAGCAGCCCTAGGAGGAACGTCCGATGTCAAGACTACCCATGAGCCAAGCCTTAGGAACCGCATCCTGAGTGGTGAAAAGAGCAGGAAACCAGTTGATATTGAGGAATTGCAAGAGCACATCAAGATTTTCATTATCAAGGTGCAGTGTCTTCCACGCTCTCTTTTAATCAAGAACCTTGGGCGAGACAATGACTGCATATGCAACCAAGGAATCCCCACAAACGGCACCAGCTTTCAAAGGATGACTAGGTTCCTTTGGGACAGTCACTTTGAATTGTCCAAAAACGGGAGAAGCAGATCTCTCTGGTCCAGTGGTGGACTGGATCCTCCATAGCCACATCTAAGAAGCCCATTTTGAGGTAGCACTAGACATGTGTGTAGGTACCAAACGCCAACCAGCACGATCCCGATCCGTGAGGTATTTCTTCCAAGAATGCGTGTGCAATACACGGCTCTTAGCCTTATTCACGACTCGATCCTAGATAGGGTTTGAGTTCGACGACAATGACGAAGACAACGAGGTCGACGACACTCGTGCAACCACCTACAAACTTCGCACCATTCCTGCAGACGCAAATAGTGCCAAGTACACTTTCAAAGTAGCCATCATCAATGGCTCCAACACTCCACGTGAGACCATCAAGTGGGCCACAAATATGGAGAAGGTCTTCGTTGGACTCAACCTTGCTGGTGCCGACGACAAACATCGTCTTCTTAAGCAGATGACTTCCAGCTCTGCAAAGAGTGCCTACGAAGCTGGGTGTGCAGGCAGTCGTGCCGTGCATCATAACGCCCTTCGACAAATTGCTGTGAATGCAATTGCTCCACGCAATGTGACTTCTGGAGAAACCGAAGTCCAGTTCCAAGCTCGTGTCCAAGCTGCATGGGACGGTACAGCAGAACCTGCTGTAAGCGATGTGGACATCACCTTCGGAATCAACGCGGTGATCGAACAAGCCTGTCCTTACAAGGCTCTCGAAAAACAGAACCGCTTCATGCGTCGTAAGATGCGCAAGCCTAGCGAGATGACAACTCGTGCCTACATCAACAACCTCACTCGGATGAATACCGATGAGTTTCCACATTTGCCACCTTTCGGTGCCAATCAACAGTTGAACCAGGACGAATTCATTGACATCATCTGTCATGGCATTCCTTGTTCCTGGATGCGCAAGATGGACGAACACGACTTCGATCCGTTCACTGCCGAGATGACGGCTCTCATTGGATTCTGTGAGCGCATGGAATCTCCTGAAGACTTTCACAAAGGCAGCGATGCCAAGTGTTGTTTGCTAGTAATACTGCAGCTTATTGGGGAGTAATTTGGTTTTAGATTAAGCTGTAAAGCAAAAGTGAGGATTTTCTGGTGGTGCATAGCAATTCTTGTGATTGAATTGGATATAAGGACCCCCGTAACACTTTAGACCTAAAACTCCCTTGGTTCCTTGCATGATGAATTTACATGCGAACCGACTAGATGATTAATACACGAGTCAATAGTAAAGAGGTGTCAGGTATGTTTCCTCAACACACTCCTGCACGGTGCCCTAAGTGGCTACCGTGGAACGAATAAAATAAATTAGAATCAAACAAGGGGTGATGCCCCATGATGAAAGCCCTGTGCTCATGGAAGAGCTTGCCCGAAGGGGCTTGTGAAAATCTCCACGCATCTCCAAGGTGGGCAGTACACCACTCTGAGGTTGCCTTTGCCAATCTGATCGTGAATGAAAAAGAAACGAATGTTGATAGCCCGAGTTCTTTTGCCCGAACTGCCTTTGCCATTCTCTGCAAGAATGATCGTGCTTTTGTTGTCCTGCATGAGGATGTTGTCCTTCACAACGATCCCCTGCTCTTCAAGGAACAACTTTGCCCACAACATAGGCGACATGACATCGTCACTCCAATCAATTCCGCTTCCGTGCTGCTCCTCGAATTCAGTTTCTGTTTCGCAGACACAGACAGCACCGCGCCACTTCCAAAGGACATGACTCCTCCTGTGTGGAACGGTAATCAGGATGGACTGCAAATGATGCATCCACCCACCAAGTGATGATGCGTATGTCATCAATGTGTAGGATCAACTTGTCCTGCGCCGTCTGATCCAAAAACTTGAGGCCTTGAACCAACTTGTCCCAATCATCAGATGTTGGGCTTCTGACACGAGTGCATAAACACAGTAGTGAGAGTCTGCACATCTGGTCGAGCACGCTTGCACAGGAACAACAGCTTGGCTGCAAAGGTATGATAGGTTTCCCTGTTCTTGTCATTCAGGATTGGTGCCATCACCAGAGCTGAATAGGTCAGCAGGAGCTGCACTTGGTACCTTTTTCATTGCCCCAAAGTCCACTGGAAACTCTGAGACCATTTTCTGACATAATCTATCATGTCAATCACAACCTTCCTGGGTCGGAAAAGTCACCGTCATCCCCAAGTAGTCATGCTTGGGACCACGGGTTGCCTTCACGGCTCCATAGGTTCCATACCTAGCGTTGAACCATTCCAAAGTTGGTTATTCACCAACTTCATTCTGTGGCTTGACATTAGATCGTCAACATGGAATCGGATTGTTTGTTGGTACCCTTCGATCATGCGTTGGCCACACAAGGATCGTATTGGTTGAACACAAATCCAATTTGCTCGAGGTCACTTCTGAATAGCTTGTACCAAAGAAGTGCTGCCAAAACCATGCCATAAATGGCTCTCTCCACGACAACATAGAGGACAGGACGTCCCTTTTTGTATGTCAGGAAAGAGGCATATGTGTCAGGATCAATTTCGACAAGTAAATCTGCAAGGGTTCCCTCAATGATCATGAGGACCCTGTCTTCACCTTTTTGACTTTTGGCATTGGGGTTTGGATGAACGCATTGGAACATCCAGGGACATCACATCCTATCTTCAGATGCATCGACACACATGGATAACATCAAACCCTCAAGTGAAACTGTTGGGCTTCTGGCATCTTCTTTCTGATGGTACACCCTTGTAGGTTTCCCATTGTAGACTGCACGGGCCTTGACCGTGCCATCCCTTTTCTCAGTCACAAACATGAGTGCCATTTGTGCTTTCTTCAATTCAGAATCACTGCATTTGTTTGGGTCGACTGGACTGAAACACACTCTGCCTGTGTAGCTGGTCCATCTCCTTTGAGCGCCGCTTTCTGGCTTTGTTGCCCCACACTTTCAACCCTTTGGTAGAAGATGTTGTTGGCATGGCTGCTCTCATCCTTACTTCTGCTGTGGCACTCCTGTGATTGCAGGAGTCCATGAACAAACTAGGTGCTTGCTCTGTCTCATACAGTAGTGGTTGCTTCGCTTCGTCATCTTGGACGAAGGTTACTCCTTTCTTTGCTTCGGTTGTAGCAATCCGAGCTGAACGTCTAATTCCAACTCGGGGAAGCTTGGAAGCCTTGGCTGGTCCAGCGAGGTTTCCATCATTGGTATCCACTGCTGGTGCCGTCTCTTCAACTGTGGGGTTGTCTGGACTTGTGCTTGTTGGGATTCCTTGGAATCCCTCTTCTCCTTCTTCATCGGAGTCAATGTCTGTGGCATACTGTTTGGATGCCCTTGGTACTAGCCCTGGGGCGTTCCCATCCTCAGAATCTTCATCTGATTCCTTGGATTCCACTGAATCTCCGTCCGAAGAGTCTCCATAGACTTGTAGGTAGCTCTCATTTCCATTGACACCATCCACTCCTGCAGGCAAACCTACAGGTAAAAATTCCACAAAGTCACGGTTGTGAAAGATTAGTGGTTTCTTACCCTCACCGTATGCCTTCTTTTCGACAGCATCAATGACTGAGCGAGGCATCGGCAGGATGCGGACATGCTGCCGCGTGATCACCTCAAAGGTGACGAGTCCATCACACTGTGTCCACCTTGGTGTTGTCCATCAATGGACGGAGATAGATGCAATCCAATCGCCTGGGCTCCATGGAATTGAGCTTGTCTGGTTCGTTGGAAGCGAGACAATAGCTCCCAAAAGTGTACTGAATATCTTTGTAGCTTGTGGTCCGACCCTCCAAGATCTGTCTGGGAGGATACACTTTAGAGATTCCATCAAGCGCGGGGAAGAGGTTGAGTTTACAATATAACATCGTACACCAATTCCACATCATCACCTTTGGCATCACCATGAACGGGGTTGAATGACAGGCTGCGCGGATGCGCTCCTTCAAGGTGCGGATGTTCCGCTCGGCGGGACCACTGTGAGTCTGAGCCGCTCCATGGTTGAGCTTGAGCTCCATGTCGTTCTTGACAGGATCCATCAGGCTCTTGAACTCCAGGTCGCACTGTATTTCTTGGATCTTGAAATCATTATTTCCGTACCGATCAAAAATCTTGTCAATGGCGGAATAGAATGATTTTCCTTTTCTGTTGGTCAGGTAGGCTGATTCGCGGTGTCGGATTTGCAAGTCAGTGAATGCCAGAAAGGCAATCTCACAGACATAAAACACATCCATGCATCCGGTCAGGAACCTGTGTGTGCCACCAGCTCATCCGTACAGTATGAATACTGTCGGTCACTGGTTGGCGGGCGTCTGCGTGTAGTAGAGCCCTTGGCCTTGCCCATGTCGCTCCCGAAAATTAATTCGGCGCGATCGATGTCCTCCAGCTTGACGGGACAGTCGCGAATTTGACCAGTCCTGATCATGTTGCGGTATCCCTCCAAAGATGGGCGCTGGAGGTTGTGGTACAGATTTCTTGCGAGAAATGCACCCTTGGCTTGCTTCTTGGTAAAGCCTTCGAGGTTGCCCTCCACCGTCTGCGACCAAATGCTGGAACTCCGGTGAAAACTGGTTGAGTTGGGCCATGTGATCCAGCAGGTCTTTATCTCTCTCTTTTTTTT